CTTTGGATTCTTTCTTATCCTCTGCGGCCTTATTGGCATTAGGTAATGGGGTTAATCTATGAGGTCGTAACTCACTGTTTTTATCTGTAAGTCATTATTTTTATTTTTTTTTTCATCTAGCAATAGACTCATCCACGGACTTATAGTCCTGGATTATGAGACTCTCAATAAGATGGTGGCTAATATTGTCTTGTATCTATCTTTCTCTCTTGGCATTCTTGCCTTATTAGATACATTCACCAAGTCCTTTTGACTTTAGGATAATCTTAGTATCCATTGCCCATTTTAAAATAATTATCTCCTAAGAGATTTAGGGCAGTAAAGTACAAGTTGTAATTCAACATCTACAAGGAAAAGTTTTGAGTCAAAATCATGTAATCGTTAGTGTCATGCGGTATTTGAGACCGAACCATGAATCGATTTACTTAGGGATTTGACTTTCCTCTTTTGCTTAGGATTAGATTTCCTCTTTTTATTAGGATTAACTTTTCCTTTTCCTTTTTAGGATTTACTTTCCTCTTTACTTTAGGATTAATTTTCCTATTTCTAAATATTTCCTAATTTGATTAGGGTTTTAGAGTTTTAAGATTTTCTATTTAAGATTTTAGGGTTTTTAGGATTTCCTATTTTATTTAGGATTTAGGGTTGTTGAGATTTCCTATTATTTAGGGTTTTGATATTTCCTATTTTATTTAGGGTTTTAGGATTTTCTATTATCCCTAAGATTTAGGATTTTAAAGATTTCCTATTTTCTAGGGTTTCCTATTTTATTTAGGGTTTTAGGATTATCTAAGTTATCTAGGGTTCATGCAATTTTAATTTTAGGGTTTCTAACAACTTATGCATGTAATCAATCAAAGAAACAATCAAATTAAAAACGCCCTAAGCAAATAATTTGCGTAACCCATGTAATTTGCGTAACCTATGTAATTTGCGTAACCCATGTAATTTGCGATTTTTAGGTTTAGATAATTAAAACTTCTCTAGCAACTTAGGCGAGTTTAGCTTAAGCGATAATCAAATCAACTTTTTCTAGCAACCTAAACGAGTCAAACAATCGGATCTCACAAGCAAAGCAATCACTTAATCAATCATCATTCGTTTTAGGGTTTCTCTTTGCTTAACTTTCAAATTCAATTGTTGGCTCTTTAGCTTTAGGGTTTTGATGTTACCTTTCACCTTATGGGGTTGTATGGACTAGAACCGGGAGCTAAAGACCTCGGTAACTCACGCTGCTGCAACGAACCGCAAACAGTACCACGATGAACAGTACCGCGATGAACAGTGTCGCGATGAACTGTGTCGGCGTGAACAGTATCGGCGATGAACAGTATCGGCGATGAACAGTGTCGGCGTGAACAGTATCGGCGATGAACAGTATCGGCGGTGAACAGTATCGGCGATGAACAGTGTCGGCGATGAACAGTGTCGGCGTGAACAGTACCGCGATTTTTAGGGTTAGGGTTGTTAAGAGCAAACTCGTGCTGATAACGTGTTGTAAACTGTGTTGTTCTATTGATTAATGAATGAGATTTCGATACATATATATACATGATGAGGGGAGACAAATCCCCATTGGGCTAGTAAACCCTAAAGCCCAAAAGCCCACTAAGTACAATATAGGCCGTCATAAGGAGAATCTTCAAGAACATGGGCATGGGCCTTCTAGGACATGGACATGGGCCTTCTAGAATATGCATAAGGTCCACGGTTATGGAGTCCTTCCAACATGTGGTTTATAACAATCTGATTATTGTATAGATTTTCCTTATAATATGTAGTTAGAAAGCAACATAATCAATTGTGTTTAGATATCTCCAACTACGATTTGTATGCATAGAACATCAAATTTTGGTTTGTTTAGAAAGATCCAAGCTTGGTTAGTTTGTATATATCAGGTTTTGATTTCTTAATTTTATTCTATAATTTGCTAGATTATTTAGTTTTTCCATGATTGCCAACATTTTAAGGATTTTTCCTTGCCGTTTTTTCAGAAGAGAATTCAAAACGAGATAAATTGATTGTGATAAATTATGATTAATTTCAGCAACTTTTTACTTTAATTTAGACAATAAACATCAGCTGGGTGAAACAATGTCGAGGTTGCTTGTGATCAATTCGAAAGCTTATTAGGATCTCTTGCCTCAATCGGACAAATCTTTTTGTTTTATTCACTTCTCTTGAGGAACAACATAAGCTAACTTCTCACACTGAAATCTTTGTCCGATTGAGGCAAGAGATGGATAAAATGAGATAATTAAAAGATATTGTTCCTCTTTGCACTGTGAAAGATTTTACCGTCTCATCCATCAAAGAAGACAACAATATCTTTTAATTATCTCATTATGCAAATATACTTAATATTTTTATAATTTTACTTCCCTCCCCGCCTAACCATTAATTGGACAAACATCTCGTATGTATAAAAATCCATAATGTTCCATAAATATCCAAACCCAAAATAAGATAAAAGAGTACAGTACCCATTGTTAAGCATAATAATTTCCATAATAAACATGAACTAAATTGAAAGATGGTGACAAATATTTTTGATAAGAGATCGTGGATAAATTCGAAAAGGGGGATAGTTTTTGAACTGAGAAGGGGGTAGTTAATTAATAAGGTGGATGACGCCATATGTTTAGCGATTACTTTAATCCAACGATTGTCATTGTTGATGCACAAATCACACATGTACGAAATGAGAATCTCTAGGGAAGTAAGAAGAGACTATTCTATTAACGAGCCCGAAACTTGGGCAAAATGAATAGGTTTACAGGGAACGATCTTGGCTGAATATTGAATCAGATGAGGTAGAAGTAATGGTCTTGAATCGGACGAGCTGAGAAGGTTGACGACGATCTAGATGCACTCTCTGCGTGTCAGCGGAAAATCCGGGCTTCATGACCAAACTTTCTATTTTGGTATTTATAGGGTATGACGCAGGGTATACCCCTACGTAAAATGATGCTTTTACCCCTTCAAACCCAACAAATATGTTCCCTTCCTTCAATGGGCTTTGCGATTGTAAATGGGCCTTTTCGCGCCGACCTCGCCTTGTTTAATGGGCTTCCATTTGTGCCGGGAAGAATTTGGTGTGAGCCCAAATTCATCCCTTAACAGCCATGCAGTCCGGAAGGGTCGATGGCGATCTTGCCTCTGTACTCACGTCCAACTACATGGCCGGAGGAGCTCGGCCGAGGAAAGTGACGCCACCGTCAGTGTGAAGTGGTCGCTGGGGACGCCAGGCTGCCCGGACATGTCAATACGCAGAAAAGACCGTCGTTTGGGAGCTGCTTTGATTCGTACGCATTCGTGAGTCCCTCCATCACAGACGGGTGCGGTATTGTGACCCGCCGGATCTGTCCAAAACGTATCACATAACATCGATCATTAATATTAATTATATCTTATATGCCTACGTTTTTAACTCTTTGTTCAGTAGTGTAATTGATATCATACACGCATACGAGAGAAGATCGCATGCATGATTCGTGAATAATGTGAAGATATACATACCAGTACTCCATTAGTACTATAAAATAACATCAATTAATAAGATATTGTAAATTCTTGTCATAATGGAGATTTTTGAAGTTTTGTTGTTTGTTTTTTTTCTGAGATATGGGAAATTCAGGTGAAGACCACACAGAATCCCTCTTGTGACACGTGTCAATTTTTTATTTGTAAATGTTCTGTACAATAGTACGAGTTAGGATGCGTGTTCGAGTTCGATTCTTATTTATTTTCCATCAGTTTCAACGAGACAATAGTTATCAAATCACATCATTTTGTTAACGATACAAACTGGTATTAGAGCAAAGAGGGTCGACTAAATTGGGAGACCAATATGTGCATTTCTAACGTCAGAATCCCTGCATAAGTCCCATAAAGCCCCAACTAGATTGTGTACTTTTTATCATTTAACACATCTTAGTCTCTTATGGCAGGACAGGAATTCTTCTATTCAGATTTCAGGCCAATAATATACAAGATTCAAGAAAGCAACAAATGATCTCTCGACTCAGAGACGGCTGAGCATAAGCAACACAGAGGAGACACCTGCAAGACCCAAAGAGACCATCCTTAATCTTGTAGGCAGTCTTGTCTAACTGAGCTATCCACATTGTAAAAGCATTTTTTCCCTTGGTTCTGTCTAACTGCATTCCAAGTCTTAGAAGAGGAAAAACCATTGCAAGCAACATTTTCCACATACCATTGATAAGAATCTTCCTCAAGTGGCTGCAATGGCAGAGGCACGGTTGAAGAAAGGTAAATATGCAGATTGATTTAAAGCCTGATCTGATCTTGGTGAAGGTAAAAGCCAAGATAAACCATCAATAGCCTTTGCGACGAGTGGGATCCTTAGGTTTCTGGGACCTTTTCACAAGTAACTCTATAAGCAGCCCTAGTGGAGTCCCAGAAGCTAGCTTTTTTTTTTTTTTTTTGAAAATAAAAGCTAGCTTTTTAAGCATTGCTTATTGATTTTGCATTTGATGAACTTCTCTGCTATAGGCCTTAAACGTAAGACAACTCTCCAATTCCACGTGTCATTGTTGCTTTCGTGGAGAAACCAAAAATTTGCAGCCGTGGAGAGATTATGGTGTTGCTTATGGTCAGCCGTCTCTGAACATTTGTTGCTTTCTTGTCCTTTTACTGTGGTGATCTGGGAATTGGCTCTGTCCAGGCTTCACTTATCGCCCAGAACTGGCATGAACTTATTATAGTCTGGACCAGGAGCAACAAAAACACTTGTCCTTATATACTATAATTTAAGGAAGATAGTCGCGCAAAGCCATTGTGTATGCAGCTTGGAAGCAGAGAAACAACATCTTACACAACCAGCAATCTATTCCTCCGCTTACTATCTGATAAATGAAATTCCGAAATCTGACGGCACATTTGAATCTTTATTTAAGAAATTGGAGAATATAAGTGAAATCTTTGACCAGCTGTTATTATCAAGGAGACAAAGACATGAGCACATTATCAGACAAAAGTTTATAAAAATCAAAAATATGCCATAATATGTTAAAATAAGTCACGATAAAGCATCGCAAGTTTAAGTTACAAAAACAGAGGATATAAGATAAAAGTGAAAGAAAAGAGAGCGCGGATCACTTAGGGGGCTTTGCGCTAGATCATTGCACACTTAGTTCTTCTTCTTCTTGTGGAGGAATCGCATCTTTGAACTTGATCGGAGCTGCTTAGCGATGCTGAGTCTGTAATAAACATTTAACATAATGTCACCATCCATATATACACCTTATAGCTACTCATATACACATTAGAGAGGGAGAGAAAGAATAATCAAAATAAATGGTCACCTTGATGGCAAATGAGGCTTGGCGGGAGTACCGAAATCGGACGACAACCTTTCCTGTTATATAACTTGGTGTAATTTGGTGTCAAATCTTGCTCCAACAATCATGAGAGGAAAAACTAAGAAATTTCGTGATTTTAGCACGAAGCAAAACGAAACAACAACGTACCTTTCAACCAACGCATTGTTGGCCCAGTGATAAAGGAAGTGTTAGTAGCATTCCGCCACTCGGGTTGCGTTGGCCACCAGGAATTTAACATGGCCCCTAGATTAGTCGGATATTCCTTCGAATCGGTCTCTTGGAATCTAGATACAACTGGACAAGTTACGGTCAATCGGATCGAGCCCCAAGATTGATCGGTTTCTTCGGAGATACCTGGTGTACCTTAAAAAAAAAAAAAAAAAAAAAACAACGAACCTTTCCTCACTCTTGTATCCCGAGACAATGAAAAACATTGAATTAGACACTCCTCACGATTAGAAAAAGCCCAATAAGTAAAGAAGCCCAATAACTTAGTCGGTTTGCTGCGGCACACATTATGATGGGGTAGATAGAGGGAATAGGAAAACAATTGGTTTATCTTTTGTTCATTGTCCGGCGGCGATAGAGAGGAAAGGTACGTTACGTTTCGTTTCGCTTTGCATCGGATCTCATGTGAGATCTACTCTTTTCATAAATGTTCATATTGTGGTTTGATAGGTGAAATTTAGGGTTCTGAGTCTAATGAATCTAATCAATCCTCCCTCTCTCTCTCTTATCAGAATTTAGAATTTAGGGTTTGGTGAGATTTTCCAAGAATGTTCCTGGGAGAAGGCACTAATGATCGCGTCTACGGTCGTAAGGTAATCGAATTTTATTGTGGATGACCAGCGATTTTCATGTTTTGCATTAAATTTTTTTCTTCTTCTTCTTAGGGATTCATTATTTTTCCTGATCCACCGTACCCATATGAGCCGAAGCGTATAGGAGCTCTTTACTATGAAGGCGGCTATCCAGATGTCAACTTTGTACCACCGGTGGAGGAATATGAACCATCCTTGCCCTCTTCACAATCACCAACTGACAGCTGTCATGAACAACCCGATTCACCAACATATGAACCAATGGCTCCGGGAGAATTGCCGGAATGTGATGTCTACAAAGATATATGTTCTGATCCCCAGAAGGTAGACTGGGCGGTTCCACCTATGGTAATTTACTACTACTACTGACTCTAAATTGTTTATGCAAAATATATGTGTGTGTTTTGACTCTATTCTCTCAAACAGGAATTCTTGGCTGAAGTTGGACTTGGTTGCTACAATCTGCAAAAGGTAAATTGATCTCTCTTTTTCTTGCTTTGTTTTGTCTTTGCTTATTTTGAGATCTTGTCTTGTAGGGGACAAACTTTCAATTTTCGGATGATCCACATGACTTCCAGTATCTGTATCATACCGGCTTTGAGGATCTTACCGACTTTGAGGATCTTACCGATGCTAAAGCATCACATTCTATGATAATGCGCAATTCCACTTGCGAGTTTGAAACAAGGGCTGCCGTTCAAAAAGATGAAGAAGAAGACTGTTGCTTGAGTTTGATTACAACGCTCCACAGGCCGCAAACTCCAGGTAAATTGTTAATCAAACCAATTGGGCACAAGCAAACCTCTCTCCATCTATTTGTTTTGTTTGTGTGTCTAATGTTTTCTATCTCTACTTGTGTGTACCTCAGAGGTGGAAGGTGACACACTTGCCCCGGATGATTTCTTCAAAGGTCCTATGCCAGATTGTTTGCCTCACGATAGGTGGAGGCTCGGTAATATGCTCAATAAGCCGAAATTCTACTTGTTGAGGAAATCAGAGATGGAAGAACACAAGGAATTGTTTCTTCTGTACGCGGAAATCACATTGTTTACCCACTGGGAATCTATCAGGCTAATGGACTGGGCAAAGCCATTGGAGCTATTATATGTAATTGTGCAAACCTGGGAGCCGAAGCTGAAGTTGAAGGCCAAGGCGGAGAATGCAAACTTCTACATTACCTTCTCAACCTATCACGGTTTTCCCTTCCATGCTGTCATAAGGAGAACAACGACTGGAAAACCAAACCAGATGTCGCTTGAATTCAAGATGTTGATGTGTCCCAAATGAATTCAAGATGTTGATGTGTTAAGAAGTATCTTATCGTCCCATTATTTATATATCATGTAAAATCATTTTGGACATCAAATGCTCTGTTTTTACAAAAGCTGATATTTGGACACAATGATTTCCGTTTGTACATTTTGTTAAATCGTCAAGAGAACGCCGTGTTGTTTTCCGACAACAAACAAGACCTAGACAGGTTGTGTAAAAGATGAAGATGTATACAAATAATTCGACTGTAACCGCTGATAGATGATGTACAGACAGACAGTAACAAAAGTAAAAAAATCATGGACGCCACAATGTCTTTTGGGCACATAACATTCCTTCTTTGTCTTGAGCATAAGTCATTCGAATCTCCCAATGCAAGCTTCTTAATATCTCTTCCAATGGCTCTAATATCTCCACTTTGTCACGCACAACCACCCAACCTCCAGGCCTTGTCAATCTATCCATCTCCACCACGATCGAAGCCGGTTGCTTACACCTGCAACAACAACAAAAAATGGAGATTTCATGGCCAGGTTTCTCATTTGACAAGCAAATTTGGATTAGAGAACACTACCACTTGACCTGTTTTTGAGCCGCGAAAAGAGATGATCAGCATGAAGAAGGTCATAAGATCTTGGATATGTTCCAAATGATTCACACCAATCATGGTATATACCGAGCAGGCCTCTTTCGTATATGAAAGGAAGTGTGTCTGGTGAATGAACAGGCACTACATTCATTACCCACACATTTTGCTTCACCAGTGATGCCGCAAATCTATTGAAATTTTGTATGATTCAAAACCAGTAAGAATCACCAAATACGAAATATGTTCTATGAACAGTAAGAGAGAGTTCTCCTTTTTCCATACCCGCCATAGATTGCTGTCATGTCCATCACGTTCCGGATTTGTAACCAGTCGATGCCTAATCCAGTGAGGTAAGATTTGTTTACCATAGCATTCCAATGATTTGTATCTTCAATGGCTTTCTCTTTGCTGGTTAACCACTCAGGGTATGTTTCAAGTCTCTTTGGCCATTCTTCAGGCCACTCTGCTCCATGCTGTTCTATAGCCGACGGTATTTCATGTATACATGTTTTCATCGGCACATACCTATCCAAAGATTGAGCACAAGAAAAAGTTCATCATAATGGACATAAGAAGAAAGATAAAGTTTATCACCATTGCTTTACTTACCAGGCTGCATCTGGGTTTTCGTTGTCCTCGCAAAGAGGTGGGTTTATCTTCCTTCTCAGTTCATAAATATCATTTGATTCTGGCTTCTGATATATTCTCACTCCCATTTCACTTGCTTCTTCGGTTTTGTGTGCAAGAATATTCCAACAAATAGAAGCTATCAATGCAGTCATCGCTGCAAAACCCACACCAGAGACAAGTTGATAAATGCTAAAAGCACAAGTAAATGTTCAAATCATAGATCCACCATGATGATGAAAAGCTTAGATCCATCATTTTCCTAACAATTTGGATTTTTCAGTGGGCGTTAAAGGGCATATGTATTAATATACCTTCATCATCCTCAATCTTGTCATTATTACTTGACAAAATGAAGTATCCATTAGGCCTTAAAATCCTGTTCATCTCCAGAAGATGTTTACCACCTGAGATTGCAAAAGTATAAGTACTCATGACTCGAAAAGCATATTTACATTGTCATGACTCGAAAAGCATATTGACAATAATGACATTGTCAGAGAAATTAATACCTACCATGAGAATGCCAGTGGATTCTGCAAGCAGCACAATGAATGGTATCAAAGACTCCACTAGGAAAAGGAAGCCTTCTACTTGCTAAAGAGCTGACTAAAGTAGGAAACCCGCGCTCAAGAGTGACCTGTGCTAAGTCGACTAGATCGTCCTTTAAGCCTAGAGACACTGTCAAAACATCCTTATCCAGCAATGCAGCTACAAAACTTGAATCTGAGCATCCAATGTCCAATACTATACGAACATTCTTTCCCCATTCAATATCTGGTACCATCTATCAAACACCAATTTTGGTTTTATATCTAACACAGAACTTGTCTCCAATGAAAAGCCAAGTTCAGAGAGTAACAAATGATACTCACCTCTTGAATGAATTCAAGGTACTGTAGAACATTTCCATTGAACGCAGTCTGGTTCTGTGGAAAAGTTAGGTATTCACCGGTTTCATTCACCCAATTATGCTTCTTAATATATGCAGCCAACTTTGGATGTGCCACGTTCTTATACAATATCTGATGTTAACAAAACAGGCATTAGATCAAAAGTAACTTGAACCAAATAACTCAAAGAAGCTCAAAAATTTAAAACCTTAGATTTGCTCTCAGGCCAGGAAATAGGAGGATCATAGCCATCATGTGGTAGAGGAACAAGACACATAACTGGTTTCTTAGGACAACTCCTCTCTCTATGTCTATAACTCTGAAGCCTCCCTATTAACCCATCATTATCAATACATGGCATATAATTGTGCTTGCTCCTAGTGTTACACAATCTCCAGCTATACTCAGCTTTAGGATCAAAAACCGGACCTTTCCTCTTCCTCTTTTTACTTATTTCGGTTACAGTTACTTCCTCGTTCTTTTCTTCCACTTCTTCATCAACTGATACACTTGAATCATCCCCATTTCCATCAGATTCTCCTTCATTGCCATCTGACTCAGTTCCTTCTTCTCCATCTTCCTTATTAAACTGATCAGAATTGTCAGATTCCGCCTCTTCATGTTCTTGATCCTCCTTAACCACAACTTCTTCTACCACAGGCTTTGGTACATCCTTCTTCTTATGTGGATGAGACACAATATGCTCTTTCTTTTTCTTGGTTTCATGTTTATGAATAAACCCACCTCCAACTTTTTTCCCTTCTTTAGATTTTGAACCAGATTCAACTTCACCTCTCTCATGTAATTTGCTAGATTCAGATACCTCGTGAGCTGACTTAGTGCGAGATGACACTGGTTCAGCTATATCGTCGAAGCTTTCTCTCTGAACATTGAAAGAAGAAGCAGAGGAAGATAAGAAGGACCAGAAGAAGACGAAGCAGATACCCAAAACAACTATAAACGTCATCTTCACCCAAATCCCTCGTGGTTGTTTAATCCTACGCGCGAAATGAGCAATCCCCATTTCTCTTTTTCTCTCCATCATTTTCAAATCTCAAAGAAACCACTTTTACGCATCTAAAAAAACAGAGATCTCTAAAGAACCACTTTAACCAAACTTGGGATAAGCTCAGGAACCAAGGATTTGATAAAGCTAAGCAAACCCTGGAGCTAAATCAGGATCTACGCAAGTAAGGTTCTTGAGCACGATTTAGTAGGAATTTGCAGTACCCAGATTGGAAAAGCTGCTAAAAGAAGAAAATTTACAAATTCTCAGATTTCTCTCACCGGAGAATGTGAAGGGAAAGAACAAAACAAAGAAGAAATTTGCAGTACCCCAAATCGAATCGTAAAAATTTAAGCTTGAAAAAGAAGCGAAGGTAATCACACAACTAAAAATTACGGCTCTTTTTTTAAGCTAACACTAATATTATCCTTCAATGCTTTTTCTCACTTTTTTCCTTGTGAAGTTGAAAAAGAAAAGAAAAAATGGGAAATTTTAGGCTTTCACTTTTGGTAATAATATTAATAACTGAGAAGTGGTCTGAACTTAGTCCGGTTTCGGAAAAGTGCCAACAGGGAGGCCAGACAGCCGGAGGTGACGGAGAATTACATTTTTTTCTTGGGCTGGCTTTTAAACCGAACCGAATGGACCCAACCGATAACCGAACGGATAACCGAAAGCGCATGCCTATTTTTTTCTGTCCTAACAGATCAGCCAATAAGCCCAAACGGGTTTTAAGTAAATAAGTCCAATGGGCTCATTGCAGTGTATGTTGTTACAGTTTCAAGCAACCTTTTTGTAAATTGCATAAATTTAAATTGAAAAAGCATTATAGAAATCTCAACTTCCATCGAATCGCATCCGTCACCATTACTTCCCTCTGAAGGCTTTGGTAAGTCGATTAAGCGGCTGTTTAGTCTCCTCCACACGAAGTTAATTTCAGGTTTGGTCGAGACTTGTTTTGTTTGTGCTGCCTCTTAACCGGTTCGGCATATGTTTCGATTTCTCCGGCCCCTGGCAGTTTCGCCGGTCTTGTCAATTACCTTTTAAAAGATTTTTCTTGCCATCCCAAGGAAGCACAAGTTTCAAATTTCTGAAGTCTACTTACATCAAGCGAGGACAAGTAGAGTTGAAGTCACGGTTGGTTATTGTCGGTGTTCCAACATGTCTAATCGTTTTCCGCTCTCGGGTTTGGACTAGTTTTTGAGTTTTGAATAGTAGTGTTTGCATATCTCATTTAAGAGCTTTTGTTTGTATAAGAAGTTGTTTCCCGTGTAGTCGGGCTTTGTCTCTCGAGATTCCGAGCTTAGTTTAGTCGGAATCTGCGGGCTTTGTCTCTCGAAATTTCAAGCTTAGTTTAGTTGGAGTTTGCGAGCTTTGTCTCTCGAAATTCCAAGCTTAGTTTAGTCGGAATTTGCGAGCTTTGATTCCGGTGTGTCCGGCTTATGTATCCTTCTCTTGTTTTTAATAATACCAGACGACAAAAAAAAAATCTCAACTTCCAATGAGATTTGGATAGCAATTCCATAAAATTCAACATTTTTTTGTTTTTAGATCCTCACAAAAAAAGTCAACATTGCTGTTAACTATAGATATATTTCTTCAATTACAATAGTCTTTAGATCCTTTAAAATCTTTCAATTTTTAATTTTCTTTTCGAATTTATTCTTTTTCATCTTGGATTTTCCTATTATACTACTAGTCCTTTCTGTTCTAATTCTCATTTGTCAAATGGAGTAAGTGATTTCTTAACCAAACTTATAAAATTGGAACTTAACAATAAAAAGAAAGTTCATTTTGCTCACACACATATAAAAGAAAGTTCATTTTGGTCATTTTAGGACAAGTTCTAAACTTTTACAGTTACAGAATTTAGCTAATAATTCCAAGATGCTAAAATCTCTTTTTACTAATTTTTTTTAAAAAGGGAAATAAAAACAGGTCCTCATGATGCATCATCACGTTTCCCGGTTCTCTTGTCTAATATTTGCTGCTGAGTAATTTTCGTCAAGATTCGTTTCAAAAAACGTGGACCCCTACCGCCTCCTCCACTACTACTACCTCCACCACCACCACCTCTTTGGTTTCCGTTTTCTCTTAATTCCTCGAAACCCTCCAAAAACCATCTCAATTTCTTGGTTTTTTTCAAACCTGAGTCTCTGACAATTCTCTTCCTGGGTTTCTCAAATCCAGCTCAGTTTATTCCAATTCAATAATCAAAACTCTGGGTTTTGTTGGGTCTTCGTCAAAGTTGTCTCCTTTACCGTCCTTTTCACCAGCGCAACAATAAAAATAAACAACACCTGTAATTGTTAAAATCGCAACATTTTCCGTAAAAATCCAAACTTTTTTTTGTCAGTGCTTCACAATGGACGGTGCTGGAGAATCACGAGTCGGTGGTGGTGGTGGTGATGGTTCTGTTGGGGTACAGATCCGACAAACACGGATGCTACCGGATTTTCTCCAGAGCGTGAATCTCAAGTATGTGAAATTAGGTTACCATTACTTAATCTCAAATCTCTTGACTCTCTGTTTATTCCCTCTCGCCGTTGTTATCTCCGTCGAAGCTTCTCAGATGAACCCAGACGATCTCAAACAGCTCTGGATCCATCTCCAATACAATCTGGTTAGTATCATCATCTGCTCCGCGATTCTCGTCTTCGGATTAACGGTTTATGTTATGACCCGACCCAGACCAGTTTACTTGGTTGATTTCTCCTGTTATCTCCCACCTGATCATCTCAAAGCTCCTTACGCTCGGTTTATCGAACATTCTAGACTCACCGGAGATTTCGATGACTCTGCTCTCGAGTTTCAACGCAAGATCCTCGAGCGTTCTGGTTTAGGGGAAGACACTTATGTCCCTGAAGCTATGCATTTTGTTCCACCTAGAATTTCAATGGCTGCTGCTAGAGAAGAAGCTGAACAAGTCATGTTTGGTGCTTTAGATAATCTTTTCGCTAACACTAGTGTGAATCCAAAGGATATTGGAATCCTTGTTGTGAATTGTAGTCTATTTAATCCAACTCCTTCGTTATCTGCAATGATTGTGAACAAGTATAAGCTTAGAGGTAACATTAGAAGCTACAATCTAGGCGGTATGGGTTGCAGCGCGGGAGTTATCGCTGTGGATCTTGCTAAAGACATGTTGTTGGTACACAGGAATACTTATGCGGTTGTTGTTTCTACTGAGAACATTACTCAGAACTGGTATTTCGGTAACAAGAAGTCGATGTTGATACCGAACTGCTTGTTTCGAGTTGGTGGCTCTGCGGTTTTGCTATCGAACAAGTCGAGGGATAAGAGACGGTCTAAGTACAGACTTGTACATGTTGTTAGGACTCACCGTGGAGCAGATGATAAAGCTTTCCGTTGCGTTTATCAAGAACAGGATGATACAGGGAGAACGGGGGTTTCTTTGTCGAAAGATCTAATGGCTATTGCAGGGGAAACTCTCAAAACCAATATCACTACATTGGGTCCTCTTGTTCTACCGATAAGCGAGCAGATTCTCTTCTTTATGACTCTAGTTGTGAAGAAGCTTTTTAACGGTAAAGTTAAACCTTATATCCCGGATTTCAAACTTGCTTTCGAGCATTTCTGTGTCCATGCTGGTGGAAGAGCTGTGATCGATGAGTTAGAGAAGAATCTGCAGCTTTCACCAGTTCATGTCGAGGCTTCGAGGATGACTCTTCATCGATTTGGGAACACATCTTCGAGCTCCATTTGGTATGAATTGGCTTACATTGAAGCCAAAGGAAGGATGCGAAGAGGTAATCGTGTTTGGCAAATCGCGTTTGGGAGTGGATTTAAATGTAATAGCGCGATATGGGAAGCATTAAGACATGTGAAACCTTCGAACAACAGTCCTTGGGAAGATTGTATTGACAAGTATCCGGTAACTTTAAGGTATTAGCTTCGTTTGAGGAACTGTTATTGTGTAACTTGGAGACTAATCCATGGTTGTTTTTTTCTTAGAGAAGAAACCCTTAGATTTGATCTCTGACAATGTCAATGTGTTTGTTGTTTATGTGTTTTGGAGACTTTGTGATATTTGAGTTACAGTTCTTGAGCTCATGTTTTCAGATCTTAGATGTGTAATGACGAAATCACAGAAAAAAAATGCAAAATAAAATTAGGGACATTATTAAACATAAGGTTATCTGTTTACTAGTATTATTGAAGTTGCTAAATAATTGGTGAAAACATGTTTGCTCCGATTAATGACACAGACCAAAACTTACTGATTGGTCACGATTGTGGTAAAAGATTATCATTCACACTGACACTCGTGTTGAATGGTGTGAATATGTGAATCCGTTACTTTGAGAATATAAACAAGGAACGGTAACTACAAAACCATTTTCATGTTCTTGTAACGTATTATTTCGTTACTATCTGTATAAATTGTCTTGATATTTTCCTAGTTTATTACTTTTGGAAGACAGTGACCTTAGTATTGTTTACTTGGTTTTAAATTTTTAATGAGTGGTCAAATTTGGACAGTGGAACATGCCAAGAATTTTGTTTAAAGAATGATTTAAAAGTATTATATTGTTGTTTCTTTTTCAAATCGACCGCCGTTTGCATTGGAAATAGTCCTTTCATGTTCGCCAAACAGCAAAACTCCCAAAGCAGTATCTATCACATCACATGGTAGCTTTCCCATTTGGATCCAAAACACTAAAAATTGCATTTCTGATTTTCTATACTTAATTTAAGATATTGTTGGATAAACACATATAGTGCTATTACTATTAATCTTGAAAATCCGGAAAATTACACAAAAAATAGAGGGTCGAATTTAAAGGTAAAATGATATGCTTGTACAAGATAAACAAATTATAATCAATGTCAAAAAGAAAGACATTGAACAAAGCAAGAAATACAGACACAGACAAGGGACCAAAAGAATGATCTGTAATGGAGAAAGCAAAAGTGAATAATTTGAGTATTTGTCTTCTTCTTCTTCTGATCATCTGAACAAAGCTTGAATCTCTTCAAGCGTTTTGCCTTTAGTCTCAGGAACCCAAAGACTCACAAAGACCACAGTGAATCCACAAACCAAAGCGTATAGAGTGAAAGTTCCTCCACTGCTCCAAGCTAAGAGCATATTTGCAGTCATTGTCACTAACCATGACACAAACCAGTTTAGCAAAGTTGCTATACTTCCGGCTAAACCCTTTATATTCACTGGCAGAATCTGTTTTACCAAACATTAATCAGTATTAAAAATTTTAGTTCTGATTTTAACACTAAGTAACATTTTTTTAATATATAGTACCTCAGACATAATCAGCCATGGAATTGGTCCCATTCCTAGAGAACAAGAAATAACCATAGCCTGTAATAAAGAACTCAGCCAGATTTAGTACACATACGGGGAAATGTGTAAACAAGAAAGCATTTTTCGTTGTGTTAATGTATAAAACAAAACGACTTACCACAACTCCAACTACGGAAACCATGCTTAGAATGTTGTACATGTTGGAATCAGGTGATACGAATTCCTAACAAAAGATTAAGAAATCTCATAATTAAAGTGATAATCTACATTGTAGAAGTATACATGTCAGAAGTTAAAATGTTACCTTAAGATAAAATGCAACTGCTACAATCACGAGGCTTATTGTCATTCCGATGGAAGAGATCTGCATTTCAGAAGAAAAGGCTAATATTATGTTATGCATACATAAATTCTTCACACTTTGAATCTCAAATGTTCCTCACCATGAGCAGAAGTCGACGACCTGATTTATCCACCAACCATGTCGCTACTGCAGTCGCCACTACCTGGTTTAGAATGAGCAACGGTTAGAAAAACTGAATCTAATATCTCCTAGATTATAATTTTATACCTGAACAACGCCAACTCCAAATGTCGCCACATTACTTGATGTCACCCCTAAGTGAATGATAATTGCACATAAAGAAGCATAGTTAGAAATCTGTTTATTCTATCTTGAGACCATTCCACGAATTAAAACAAACATATGACTCTACCTGCAGATTCAAAAATTGTACTCGAATAGAACAAGACACCATTAATTCCTCCAAGTTGTTGAAGTACAAGCAGCCCTATACCAACCTGTAACACAGATTACAGGAAACGTGTGAGTTTCTCTCATTTGTTGACGAAATTAGTTCCAGAGCTATGAGCAGTTGTACCATCAGTGGGAAATAGTATCTCCTGCGCTTGAGGTCTACAAATCGAATTGCAGAACGTTTGCTAGATGATGCCACAGATCTCTGCACAGTGCATAAAATGAAAAATTTTAAATAAGACAAAAAAATTTAAGAAACCGACATCATCAAATCAAAGCATTTTTTCAGTTAAACCAATACCTTGATTTCATTAACCTCAACGGTGATATCAGTATCAAATCCACGAAGAACTTGCAATGAAGTTTCGAAATCATCTGTAAACCCCATCTTTGCCTACAATTACGACACCAAAACAATTGAGGATAACCAATACTGCAACAAACTCAACAATAAGTAATACGGTTGTAGAGGCATACCAACCACCGGGGAGATTCAGGAATGAAAAACAGACCGGGTATCAACAATGTACATGGCAATACTCCTAAACATAAAGAAGACAAATAAAGTGATTAGACTGTATCGACCAAAATAAAATAAAAACCGGTAAAGTTTCTCCCAAGCAAGTCAAAATGTTATGCGAGTTACCCAAAACTGCAAGAATTCTCCATGGAACAAAGAGACCGAGTAAATACGCCAGCATTATCCCAATTGTTACAGAAAGCTATAAACACAAAACATTTATTGTTTAGTGTTAATATGTTAATCAGCTCATAAAACGAAACATAGAAATAGTGAAGCTAATTAAACATGACAAACCTGGTTAACTGAACCTAAGGCTCCTCTCATGTGCTGTGGAGCAATCTCCGCTATATACACGGGCACCTAAAATCGCAATTCAAAGTAGTGTAACTATATTGATCACTCCAAATAAACATTGCTGAAATTAAAGAACTAGTGGAATCTAAAATTACCGTATAAGAGATTATCCCAACGCCAAAACCTTCTAACAATCTTCCCATGTAAAGAAAAGAAGTATCCTAAACAAAAACCAAGAACAACAACAACTTAGTAGTTATAGAGATAAGCCAACAATATCAGAAAATTTGAGAACACCAATATACTCACTTTTGCAAATGATATCGAAAGCCATCCAATAATATTGGGAATTGCAGCAATCATCAAAGACTGTCAAAAGGAAGAAAAAAAAACACAGTGATTAAGATACAACAAGAAACAAGATGTTACATGACAAGATTGTCACAAATGAGAACAGTTTAAGAATCAAGAAACAAAACTATTATACCCCTTTCCGTCCAATGTATTCAGCAATCTGACCACTTGCAATTGCTCCAACCATAGCACCCACATTGGATAGAGAGCCAAACACAGAGTACTAAACATCAAACATGAAACCTAAAAGTCAGAAACTTATTGAACAAATAGTCTTTAAAAAAAAACAGAAGAGTTCATAAATGAAGATGGGACCTTTATACCTCTGATACAGTTAAACCAAGATCCTTAGTAATGGCAGCTTGAGTTGGTGAGGAATAACCACACTGAAAACAAAAAGATAAATCAAAAATCAGAACTTTCTCAATAGTCAATTGAGCAAAAGCAGAAAAAATCCACATTGATCAATTTAAGAAAGTTGAGATTTTTTGTTATGTTCTTCTTACAGTGAATCCGAATTGAATAGGACCAAGAGCAACAATCAAAACACAAGCTAAGACAGAAATTGAGCTGTCTCGAATAACTTGAGACGATTCCAACATACTAGATTGTCTCGAACCCATCCGATACCAACTTCCGGTGTGTAAGAACGGTCGCCGAAGATCATTTCTTCCCTCTTCCGTATCATCCCTAAAACTCATCTTTTTATCGCTAAATCTACAAAACAATCGTAATCTACAGAAAAAGACGAATCCTTTCTGAGGCAAAAGAAAAGGGTCTGAGATAAAAATGTTGATCCTAAACTAGAAAATGCAGAAGAAAAAAAACGAAATTTGAGGTTTGTTCAAAAAGATGTCGACTTCTTTTTGTTTGATTGTTTAAAAATTCTTCATGGTTTATAAAAATTGAGCCTTTGCGTGGAGAGACGCAGACTGTTTCATAGTTTTCCACCTCAGACGCGTCGCCTAACATCGATTTATAGAATTCGTAAAACTCTCTTTTTTTTTTTTTTTTCTTTCTTTGTCGTCACAAAAAAAAATCTTAATTTAAAAACATTTTAATTAAATAATAAGTATATCAATTTATTGCAAATTGATTTTAGATTAAATTTACTATAGTTTTTGTCTGAGTCGTTTTCGAGTTATATATTTTCTTCTACATACTCATTAGTATAATGAGCTGACAAAGTAACTAATTACGCAAAAAACTATAAAAATGTGGTACAGAGCTTGATTAAGGATTAAAAAATACATGTGGACATGTGGTATAGAATTAATCTCTATAAACGTTGTTTTTTCACTATAAATTTCATTTGTAATCTTTGTTTTAATGGGTAACTTTATCAAAAACTCGTTCCTCATATTTTACGATGGTCTACAAAATATGAAACTATTTATCAATTTCACAGGCTGAGCCGCTGAGGTCACCTAAACTAGCTAGCTAGTATGAGTCGCAAATGTCACTAATTGTGTTTTCAATAAAATGTTTTTTCTTTTTGTTTAGGTAAACTGTCTGCTTCAAAGATATTTTTTAGATATGAATAAAAATTAAAACTTCCCATATTAGAATACGAGGCCACTAGACATTCCTTTTGACAACAAAAAGTGACAATGTCATTTCATATTTTAAACCTTAAAATAATTAACTAGACCATGCATTATAGTGTTTCGTGTTGATGATATTGTACCACTATTCAAATTCAAATTCACATATTTATATGTTGTACTAACAAAATCAGAACAACAATATTGTGGAAGGAACTTTAGCTAAAACTTTAATATAGCAAAAATGATAAGACAATTAAATTGATAATTATTTGTAAATATATATATATATATATATATATATTGTCTGTTTTTTTTTTCATATCAAAGTAACACTAAAAATAAAAATATAATGCTCGAATTTTCCTCTACTTTTTAACATTGTCTCTACCTCGTTGATATTGATGTCGATAGGTCATAAATATGCAAGTGACATTATTTTATTAGATAAGCTCGAATAATGATAGTTTTTTGTTTTCTAGTATATGAAAATTACATGGATGTCATTAATTTCGATTACTTCAAATTAGTTAAATATATATTTATTTAGACACAATATTTATATATTTTCATTGTTTAAAATCTTTGAGAATACGACATGCATGCAATTATGTTTAAAGCACATAAAATTAGATGACATTTTATGTTGTATTGGTAAATAAAATGAAATAATAGTTTCTACCGTTTACCAAGCGTCACTCTATCTAAAAAAAAAAAAACCCCCCAGTCTTATGTATTCTATATATACTGCCATATTATATATCATATTCTCAACCAATATATTGTTTACTCCACAAAAGTCATTCTTTTTTGTGATGAAATGTTACATTCATTGAAGATTTTTTTTTTTTTTTTTTTTTTAAAGAGTGCTATTTACAGATGAATGAATTGAAAAACATTGAAGTCATTCTTTTAAATAAGATATGTAACTTATTAGTTGTTAATAACGTCGGCATAATTGAGATCCCAAAATCTCACAAGTTACATACACGAGGTTTTTGTATTTTTAAAAACTTCTAAATCGAGATAGATCTATGGTCGATGAGGCGACGACAAAAAAAGCCAGTAGATATCACACCAAACACGTCTTATTGGGGTTATGATTCATAGGCTCTGATTCATCGTTCAAATCAAGATATAATAATATTCTGTTGACCCAACAATGCAGATTCGTATATTTTCACTGTTCTTTTGTCTCGTTCTCATCTCTCACGTGTAAGTGTTTATGTTCTTACATCTCTGTGTAGCCGTTTCCGGATCCCGACACAAGCATTCTCTTCCATTGTCCCCACTTTGCTTAGTTGGTCTAATAGTTTTATTTTAAAATCAGTTTCTATATTTGATTGGTCTATTTATGGGTTTAGTATCAGTAAGCAACACGATTTTCACCTATAACGTACGAGTACATGCAACACGATTGTACATGTCACATTTATCTTCATTATCTTGAATTTAAAATGTAGTGTGTAGTTGGAAAAAAGAAATTATTTGTTGGTCGTTCAATTTTTAAGTGAGATAATTGGTGGACTTTATAGGCCTAATTTAAGTTACCAAAATTGGGCTTTAACAAGGATCCATACACTTTAGGTTGAAACATGAATTTTTGATTCCTAACACCGGAAAAACAAAAACAATACAAAATCCTCCTCTTTGAAACAACTTAGTCGACGATTATTATCTGATTCACTTTTTCAAATGGATACGATTAGCATGGATCAGAATCAAAATATGCAGTAATGCAGATCGAAACATCTTTGAACAAATTCAAGGGAAGCTTTCGAGAGTAATTATAGCTTTGCGTTCATCCCACGAATGGCTAAGCCGCCCTTAAAAGTTATGTAGACAATTCCACTTTTGGACTTGAGTGGCTCTTCATCTTCACTACTAGTTTCTGTCGCCGCTTTCACAATCGTCAACTTTTGATGGTTAGGCCCTTTCTTTAGCCTCAAGGCTTACTTGCATCTATCAAGAACTTGCTGCAGGTGAGAAATCTTTATTACATCTACCGTTTAACAGTTTGTTGATCTGAGAGCAAATATCTGAACCCTCAAGAAAAGATATAAAACGACGGACCAGACTCTTTTTTTCGTTTCCCGAGAGTCAGTTTCACTTGGAGAAGAAGAAGAGTAATTCGAAAAAAAAAAAAAAACTTGCCTGACAAAGACCCAATTGAATTTGTGGTGAAATTTATATAGTTGTTGCTGATTTTTTGGTAAAATGTGAAAATACAATCATACTATTAGAACGAGTTTTAAAGAAAAAAAAACAAATGAAATTATGGCTATAAATACACATTACACGAGAGCTTTTTTCAAAAATCAAATCAAGCTCTGTTTCCATTATTTCTCGCTGCTGACTTCACACACGACGATGGTTAATATCTCTGAAATTCTCGACGACTCTAACGACGGCGGCAATCCAAACAAGAAACCAGAAGAACAAGTTTTAAGAAGAAGTAGCCGAATCTCGACAAGAAACGAGAATCAAAACAAGAAGCCCAAGGAAGAAGAAAAAGAAGATATTCGCTCGATATCTTTCCCAATTCCAGACGATCTCACGGAAGCTTGCATCGCACTCATCCGGAGATGTGACTACCCTAGTCTGTCTTCCGTCTCAAGTTACTTTTTCACTCTCATCGCTTCGTCAAGACTCTACGAAACGCGTTCGCGCCTCGGTCTTTCTGAAACCTTTCTTTACGCCGCCATTAAATTCCCTGATGACATTCCCCCAAAATGGTACATTCTCCATCGAAACAAGGTTTCTTCTTTACGTTTGACGGAACTCAGCTCACTTCCACCTGTGCCTTATGGATGTTCTGTCGTCACAATTGGTCAATAGATGTATGTAATCGGTGGAGTCATCGACAGAAGACGCTTACAGTCTATGAATCTCATCGATTGCAGAACTCATAAGTGTCGCTCCCTCCCGAAGATGAAAAGGGGTCGTTACAATGCAGCCGCCGGAGTTATTGACGGAAAGATTTTTGTAATCGGAGGCTGAATGGTGTTTGATCTAAAGAAACAGAGTTGGGAATCTTTGCCTGGTCCGTACCCTAAAACTAGTTCGGGTTGCGAGTGGAAAACATATGTGGTGATGGAAGAGAAGTTATACATTTTGGATTCTAAATTTTGTTTGGTTTACGAACCAAAAAGAAACATTGAATGGGACGCATCCGTCGGAGCAACTCCTTTAATGGATTTGTGGAAATATACATGTTGTGTGGTAGATGATATATGTTGTATACGATTGATCGTCAGCGTACTCTTGGACATCCAATAGTATAGTCGTGTATGATCCAAAGGACAAGACTTGGAGACCTGTGAAAGGTGAATCTTTGGGAAGATTGCCTAGTTATCTCTTTGATAAGTCTGAAATGGCGAATTTTGGTGGAAAGTTGGTGATTTTGGGTAGTAACGAGAGCTATGTTACTGGTGATTGCATTGGGGAAAAAGGTATTTGGTGCGTAATGATCGCGTTGGAAAAACGTGAAGGAGAAGAGATTTGGGGGATGGTCGAATCACTCGACTGTGTGCTTGGAGACATAAACTTTCTGATGGTTAGGCTATGTCGAACAGTGACCATTTGATGATACATGGGATGGTTTCTTGCAGGTATGTTTATGTGATTGAGTATGAACTTTTTTGATGTTCATGACTTTTATTTAGCCTCAATTCAAGGCTTACTAGTCCTTTTCCATGATCTTGTTGCAGGTGAAGGATCTTTATTACTCAAGAGTAACTCTGTCCTTCTTTACCTCTGTGCACATTGATAATATTCGTACATAATTATTATAGCCTTGAGTAGATTTCTTAAGCTGTAACAAGATTACAAGAGTGGGCTAGCTGCATTTTTACAAAATATTCTTACCAAAACTTGTTGAAATGCATCTTTAGTTATAGGCTTATAGCTATGTTTTGAGTTTTTCTGCAGTTTCACTAACATGCTCTCAAGTTTTTTGCTGTAAGTAATAATCAAACACAATCAGATTTTAAAAAAACCCATTCTGCTTCTACTATATGAGCAATATGAAATCTTTTAGAATCTAGATGAAGCAAAACCAACTGAGTTTTAGTTAACTTGAAGCTATATAGAAGATTCAAAGAGAACAGAGTAAGAAATACCAAGTAGCCGAGTTTGGGCTTTAAAAAGGGTCCAGACTCGCAGGCCTAAAAGCCCATATAATGGTCATCGGAGCGTGAGGGCCACTCTCGTAGAGGGCGCGTTAGAGAAGATATAAAGCGACGGAGCAGACTCTTTTCCTTTCTCCCTCCTCTCCTGAGAAGAAGAAGTAAAGAAGTAAGATCAATTCTCAGCCGTAGTTAGTTATTCTCCGATTAGGTTTCCGATTCTCTGTTTCTCCTAGAGTGAATTTCAAAACCCTAATTTTGATCTTTCATATGGGAGAACAATCCCCTTCTCAACCATCGACTCAATCCCAAAGTCGACCACAATCACCCAAACCCGATACGCATAACCTAATTCCGCCGGAATCCACCGATGCATGCATCGATTCAGCCGGAGTTTCGGGCTCAATCGTCTCATCGACCACAATCGACGCTGGACGGATCACTGAACTAGGCAATGTATCGTCTCCGCCGTCCAAAATCCCTCTCCGCCCTCGGAAAATCCGGAAACTTACACTCGACGGAGACGTCTCCGGTGAAGACTATAAGGCGGAGGATATCTCCTCTCAAGTAACCTCACCGCTCGCGACTGGAAAATCTCCCGGTAAAGGTAAATTATCGCAGTCACGAGTTATAACTGTGCCGAGGATCCAAGCTCGGCCTCTGACATGTGAAGGCGAGCTTGAAACAGCGATTCACTATCTCCGTAATGCGGATCCTTTGCTCGCCGCGTTAATCGACGTTCATCCACCGCCGACGTTTGAGTCGTTCAAGACTCCGTTTTTAGCGCTGATACGAAGCATTCTCTACCAACAGCTTGCTACTAAAGCTGGGAATTCAATCTATACACGATTTGTTGCTCTCTGTGGCGGCGAAAATGTGGTTGTCCCTGAGACTGTCTTAGCATTAAATCCTCAGCAGCTTCGTCAAATCGGCGTCTCAGGACGTAAGGCGAGTTATCTTCATGATCTAGCTAGAAAGTATCAAAACGGAATCTTGTCGGATTCGGCGATTTTGAACATGGATGAGAAGTCTTTGTTCACTATGTTAACAATGGTTAATGGAATTGGGTCATGGTCTGTTCATATGTTCATGATAAATTCTCTTCATAGACCAGATGTTTTGCCGGTTAACGATCTCGGTGTTAGGAAAGGAGTGCAGATGCTGTATGGCTTAGATGACCTGCCTCGGCCATCGCAGATGGAGCAGCATTGTGCCAAGTGGAGACCATACAGATCAGTGGGTTCGTGGTACATGTGGCGGCTCATTGAAGGTAAGGGCACACCAACGAGTGCTGTTACACCTGGAGCTGCTATGTCATTGCCTCCATTGGAAGATATTCAACAAGAACATCAGCAGCAACAGCTTATGGACCCTCTTAATAGTGTGTTCAGTATCGGGTAAGTAAAGCTTGTTTCTTTCTGAAACTTTATAAAGTTGTTCTCAGTACTTGGAGTGTGCTCAATTTAGGGAGATAGAATATTTGACAACTGTTACTTGCCGCAGATACAAACTAATATGTCTGGTTTGGATCAGTAAGACTAATATCTGTGCTTTGGCCAACTATTTGTGGAATGCGCTTATGGTTGATAAATTATTCTAGGCCTCCAAGATTAGGTGTAATGTCTAGTTGTTTACACTCATGTATAGAAGAGTCTTATAATGAGCTTACATTTCGTGTTTGACAAAAAGTAGTTGCTTTGCCTGCAAGCATCTAGTGAGTAGTGAGTGAGGCTATTTTTCATTGCCTCGATTGATTGACACTAATTCTTCTGTCCTAGGAGAGTTTTTCCAGCTACTTTCTTGCTTTCTCTCCATGATTGTTTTTACGCTAATTCTTCTGATTGTCGTTCTATGACTCTTTTATCAGGGCTTGGGGACAATCGTAGCTGTTCTTCCGCGTTGTTCCTGGATGGCTTAGGTGAGTTATTTTGGTCTAGTAAAACAAAAGTGTGGGAGAAAGAATAAAAAGGAAGTGTTTTTAGACAGGGTTCCTTGAGACACAAGCTGAAGTAACAGTGAATATGATCTTCTTAGTTGAGTGAAAGAGTCTGTAATGTTAAGAGTGAGTAGCTAGCTAATGGCAAAGTGTCTTTTAATTTTTGTCGGAGGCCTAACTCTTGATGGAGAACTTCTCTTTATCTCTGAAACACATCCACATTTCTGTATCGCATCCTTGCTCGGTCTAACTAACTTGACTAACAATGAAAATACGAGTAGAAGAAGTCACAGACTCGCAAGAAACCCTTATTGTTTTGTTTGCCGTAAAAAGGACTGCAGCGAGTCACTGCCATTAAATTTACTCTGTTTCATTTGAAGCCATTAAAATTACTCTGTTTCAAAATTAGTTACGGGATAAACTGTTGAAATTGATTTTGTTCATTCGAATTTTTGCCTTCTCCTTATGGTAGTGTCACTTTTTCTGGAAAGGTATGTCTGTAGGCCCATTAACAGCCCAATCTCTAAATTATTTTAAAAAATTGAAATATGTAAATACTAAATTTCAATAGGTACGGGTCGATCTGTGGACGGGAAGCAAAAGAGTATCCAAGAGTTCCTTCGCCGCAACCGTCGTTCCTTGTCGCCGGTAAATTCTGTTCCTCGGTTCTTCTTTTCTAGATCTCTTTTCCTCTGTTTTGACTATTTTTCTCCCTCAAAATTTCAAAATTTCTGATTCCAGATTCTTCGTTATGCAACTTTACTGTTGCTAAGCTCGTAAACCCTAGCTCGGAGAACGTTTACTACTTGAGTCTGTTTTTTTCAATTGAGTGTGGATATATCTTGAATGTTTGAGTGAAACAATTGAATTCTCGCTTTGTACATAGTAGACAATCATCAAACACTGATTGGTTGTTGCTTCAGTACCAATTCCCAGGAACAAGTGTGGACATATCAATGGATGAAGAAAGGCCTCCAAGAAGTGGTGAAGAAGAATGTAGTATATCACTGTTTGATTATTCTGTTGAGAATCATCTAAAAGCAGTGGACTCTATCAGTGATCTCTGTGGTGAAGCTAATGCTGAAATTGATGAGAATGATATCAACACATTCTCATCATCAGTTACTTTCTTGAGGTGCGTAAAAAGAGTTAATTATGTTTTCATATAGGCTTCTTAGTAGTACTGTAGAATAAGCTTATGTTGAAGAAACTTCTGACTAAAGAAAAAGAGTTTCTTTCAAATTCATTGTGAATTACATGGTTATGTAAAATGTTTCTTGATGTGACAGTATGAGTATTCTACTTAGTTGATTTAACACTCACAAATCTAATTCCTGCCTGCTGAAATTTTTATAGGGAATGGAGGCATTATAATTTCGAACCAAAGATTTTTGCATTCTACAACGAGGCTGGGAAAAGCCGTGAACCAAAGGATGCAAACTGTCAAAATTTGCCTCAGTTTTCTTCGGCACGAGCTCCGAAGGTGTGTGTAATATCTTTCCGCTAAAAGATTATATTTGACTTTGGTTCTTACCTTCCATTTACTTCTTAAATTGCTTCAACGACAATGCATTTTTGAATCAGTGTTCTTATTGGTGCAGGTTAAGATACATGACGATGAATCATCATCATCATCTGGTGAAATCAGGTAATAATTAAAACTATATGAGCTGTGATCATTTAAATTGTTCAACGGGTTTGCTGGCTATCAAAAGTAATACCTCACTCGAAGATAGAGAACTCATACAATTAATCTTGACCATGGGAGATGAACATAGGTTTCCCCAGTTAGATGAATGCTAATTCACTGCTAATGTGCTAATTTTATGTTCAAGTTCAAGAAATCACTCATGGAGTTTGGTGATTGAATTAAGCTGGTACGAACCAGGACTAGGTTGCTAATTGGTTAGACAGTACGTTGACATTGCATGTTTGTGTATATATTTCTGCTCTTGTCCCTTTTTAATTATCAACAAGAGGTGTGTTTGTATGTGATGGATTATTATTCACCTGTGCAGCAAGGATTTTGTGATGCATGTTGGAGGCTCTGTTTGGGCATTGGAGTGGTGTCCCAGGGTTCATGGGAATCCAGACGCTCAGGCTAAATGTGAGGTGATTAGGTCATATTTTCTGTTTCAATACTCCGTAGAAATGGGAATCTTAGGTTTTCATTGTTATGAACGTTATTGTTGCAGTTTCTAGCTGTGGCTACTCATCCGCCTGACTCATACAGTCACAAGATAGGTATTCCTCTTACAGGTCGAGGCATCATTCAGATATGGTGCATTATAAATGCCACTTGCAAGAAAGATAGCGCCCATTTTTCAGAGAAGAGTAAAAAATTGACAGGAAAGTCTCGAAAAATACCATCTGGTGAAACTACTGAAACAACAGAACCTAAGAAGCCGAGAGGCAGGCCCAGAAAGCATCCAATAGAGACAATAGAGACAACAGAGCCTAAGAAACCAAGAGGTAGACCTCGAAAGAAGAGTACTGCCGAGTTACCTGTTGAGCTTGATGAAGGTGTTCTTTACGTTGAAGCTCTGTCTGTTCGGTATCCGGAAAATTCAGTTGTTCCCGCAACTCCTCTTCGGATACTACGAGAAACTCCAGTAACAGAAACTAAGGTCAACAATGAAGGTTCAGGACAAGTGTTGTCTTCGGAAAATGCAAATATCAAGCTTCCTGTACGGAGAAAGAGACAAAAAACTAAAGGTACTGAGGAAAGTTGCAAACCCATGCTATTAGAAAATAGTGAAGCTGTTGGAAATGTACCGGGCGAACCGTCCCCAGGTATTTCTCAAGGCATAGCTCTTCCAAGGGTTGTCTTATGCCTGGCCCACAATGGAAAAGTTGCCTGGGATATGAAATGGCGTCCCTTATATGCCAATGATTCTCTTAAGAAGCATAGAATGGGGTATTTAGCTGTCTTGCTGGGGAATGGATCTCTGGAAGTGTAAGCTAACTACTTCTTCTCTTCTTTTTATCCTAATGCATTCTATGCCCTGCACGATTTTTCCCTTCTGCTCTGATATCTATCACCATATGCCACCTCGTCTTTGTTTTCAACTGCATTGAGAGATTGTATGCAAACTTAGTTTGTGTACTCATATTTTCAATCTGCAATGAGAGAGCACCTTTCTAGACTGCATATACTATGCAAAATAATGAACGACCTTATGCAGGTGGGATGTTCCAATGCCTCAGGCAACATCAACTCTATATTTATCTTCAAAGAAAGCTGCGACTGATCCCCGTTTTGTGAAACTGGCTCCCGTTTTTAAATGTTCAAACTTGAAGTGTGGCGATACAAAGAGGTCAGTAGGTTTCTTCCCTTTTTCCAGCTTTTGCATGTTTTGTGGAATGGAAAAGAAAGCAGTCCTTCTATGTTTCAAGAGTTGCATATAAAAATGATTTTTTCTTTCCTTATGCTTTCTCTATTGGCTTTCTCTTGATGTGGTGCTCGTCTATTTTTGTACAGTATTCCTTTGACAGTTGAATGGTCGACTTCAGGGAACCCTGATTTCTTACTGGCTGGTTGCCATGATGGCACGGTAAATTATATCACTTTCTTCACCGTCTCCATCATATTTTTGTCTCTGTTTTCTTGCATTTGTGTAAATGTATTCAGGAACAAGAACTGCAGTGCTTAATTGTGTGGACCCCGTTATTTTTGTTATCTTGCATCAGGTTGCTCTCTGGAAGTTTTCTACAACGAAATCTTCAGAAGGTAAGACCTGATATGTTTGTCCTGATGCGGTGATGCCAGATGGTTTCTTTTCATATTGTAGCCAGAGAGAGTGATTTCATCTGTTTATTTCATATTTACTTTTCCAGATTTTTTCTATGCAGATACAAGACCTTTACTTTTCTTCAGCGCAGATACAGCTCCTATTAGGGCAGTTGCATGGGCTCCTGGTGAAAGGTCTGTGACGTGAAATCACACCCATAATATCAAACTACTGCTACATATCTTCTGGAGAGAATTTACTTATTAATCAAAGTAATTTCTGAAAATTTTCCAGTGATCAGGAAAGTGCAAACATAGTAGCTACTGCTGGACATGCAGGTCTGAAGTTTTGGGACTTACGGTACACTTCATTAAAATATCAGCTATTACATCATTTTCTTAAAACTTTGATGCTGATGCAATTAATTAACAAGACTGTACTGTTTAATGTCTATTTGACTCGTGCCATAGCTTATTGCTTGCTTGCTATGTTTTTTCTGCAGTGATCCGTTCCGTCCTTTATGGGATTTGCACCCAGTACCAAGGTTTATTTACAGCCTTGATTGGTTACAAGATCCAAAGTATCAATCGCTGCTCTATCCTCAGTTGATTATACAGTCTTTAGATCAATGGTTTGAAGTCCTGATTAAATATGGGGTTTTAAATATCTGTAGATGCGTTTTATTGTCCTTTGACGATGGAACATTAAGAATCCTAAGCTTGGTGAAGGTTGCGTATGATGTTCCTGCTACTGGAAGGCCTTATCCTAACACGAAACAGCAAGGGTTAAGCGTTTATAACTGTTCAACTTTTCCCATCTGGAGTATTCAAGTATCAAGGCTAACAGGTAAATGTTCTTTATGGGCTTGTCTTTGTGTTCAAATATTCATAATCATCGGTTCATCATAATAAATAAGGTCAAAGTATAAATCAACTCGAGAATTAACTATATAACTTCTCAGGAATAGCAGCCTATTGCACTGGGGATGGGTCGATTTTCCATTTCGAGGTTTGTATAAACTGCACAATTACTTTCACCTCTTTTGTTCTTTTTCAATTTCTTTAAGATTTCCTATTGTCTTGTTGGGATTACTACAGCTTACGACCAAAGCAGTGGAAAAAGACACGAGAAATCGGACTCCACACTTTCTCTGTGGACAATTGACAATGAAAGATTCCACCTTTATAGTGCATAGTCCAGTTCCAGACATCCCGATCGTATTGAAGAAACCGGTTGGTGAGACCGGTGAAAAACAGAGATGCCTTCGAAGTCTTTTGAATGAATCTCCTAACCGATACGCATCTAATGTTTCAGATGTTCAGCCTCTTGGTCAGTTGAAACTCTACTATAGAGACCGTCTGACCAGTCTCTCTAATATGGTCAATCTCCTGAGTACCTTAGTCCTTATCTTGGTTTACTTGATTTTTGCAGCTTTTGGACACGAAGAGGATCCAGGTTTAGAGTCTGAATTCGAAGGAACAAACAACAAAGCACCAAAGTCAAAGTCTAAAAAGGGAACGAAGAACATTGGAGAAGAGGACGAGAACAGCAGGGCATTGGTTTGTGTTAAAGAAGATGGCGGAGAAGGAAGAAGAAAAGAAGCTAGCAACAATAACAATGGAACGAAAGTAGAAGGGTTCCCGCCTAAACTGGTGGCAATGCATCGCGTGCGGTGGAACATGAATAAAGGAAGTGAGAGATGGTTATGTTACGGTGGAGCCGCCGGGATTGTTCGGTGTCAAGAGATTGCTCCAACCTCAAATTGGAAACCTCAGAGATGACACTAAAGTCCCTTGTAACAACTATATAACATCTTTAAGTATTTATTCCAAAAAAAGAAAGGTAGGGTCTTGTTGTAACAAAAGAACCGTATATGGAAGAAACTGATTCAATTGAAGAACTTTTTGATTCTGCGGTCAAAAAAGGGAACAAACCCTGAAATATGTTATAGAACTGATCAAGACCGGAAGGAACTTCAAGCGAGAAGCAAACAGATTCCGGATGATCTTACAAAATGGCACTTTTAACTCTGTGCCAAATAACCCTAAATCTTACAATGGTACAACATTTGCTATTACCTTGTAAAAACAAAACAGAAACTCCCGAATACTAATCTTGGATAAGTTTAACAATAATCCAACTTTTGTTTGGTGGATGAGTATGACTCTTGTTTTGGTGTTTCAGTAAGAAAGCCGAAACAATGCGAAAATGCCCCGGACAAAAAGAAAGGGATCTTGAAGTACCTTTAGTGTTTTAACTGGTAAGATGAAGAATATGAGTTATCCGACTTGCATCCGACATTGACGGCCATGGAGGTTCTTGAGCCTTGTGAGTTCTTTCCGTCTCTTTCTCGCTTCCGCTGCAGCCAAAGATCCTTGCTTTTTCCCCGGTAGAGAAATCAAAACATGGTGACCAGGCGGCATCAGTGTAACTCCATTAGTTGTCTCAGAAACATCTTCATGCTTTAAACTATAATCTTGTTGCGTTATAGGAAAATCATCTCCTCCTTCTGAGAGGACTTCAGTTGCAGATTCGTTGAGATCATATAAAGGTCTGGTTTCGGGTGAACCAGAGTCTTCTTCTTTGATTCTTGTTGGTAGATGGGACCGCGGAGTTTCTGTGACCTCTATCGGTCTTGCAGAAGAATCATCGATATGGTGCCCGTTTGAAAAAGTACCTCTTTGTGTATTTTGAAGCCCGAAGGGAACACTGTTGCTCTGATCAGGAGGAGGGAGAAACCAAGGGCAAGGTACAACGTAAAAATGAGTTTTTTGCCCATTATCATCTGCAGGATTTTCATGCTCCTGTGAGGTCATACTTTTAGCAGAAGGTCCTCCCGATGTGGCGAATTCAAGTGGCGATATCGTTGGATTTGATGATTGAGTAACATGAGGCCAGCAGAAAAGCTGATACGGATTCTGGTTGTAGAAGTAAAACGGAGTAGATGATGTAGACATATCAACTTGTGATGGTTTGGTCGATTCTTCAGGTTCTTTTGTATCGGGTTTCACTGACTTCGATACCTGTAAAAACAAACGGCAAATCAGATATGGCTCCTGATACTGATATGGTGTTTGATAGATTGTGTAACCTGTTCCTTTAAATGCTTGTTAATCGTCTCCAAAGACTGAAACTCTTTCAAAGCCCAATCCTTTTCCTGCCAGCAGAAATGCCATTAGCTATTACAACGGTCTCTAACACTATAGCTAGGTGGAAATGTAAATCGAATGGTTTTTACTCACCCTCCTCAAATTCTCATTCTCATATGTCAGATCAGCTGCTTTTTTACTCAACTCCTCGCACATTGCCTGGATATATAAGGTGTAAATACTTAGCAACACTAGTGTATTAATTCAGCTAATTTCCCAATATGGACCTTGATGATAGAAACAAGCCATCACTAAACCAACTCAATCTACGGTGTAGTTAACAATACCTGTCTGCGCCGAATTGTCTGCCTGGCAGATTCTCTGTTAGCTAAAATTCTTCGGATTCTACGTTCTTCTCTTTCAGCCTAGAGAGTAGTATTAGCAAATAAGTTCAAAACAAAAGTGTCAAAAAAAAAAAGAAACAAGAATAGAAAACTTTTGGACTTCTTGTAACCATACCTCACTCAAATTTTGCCTCGATCGGCCACAGCCATTTGATCGACTACACCTAAGTGTAGAAGCAAGATTTAGTTTAGGTGTTTCACCATTCATTTCAGTTTTAACCGGAGCTTTAGTTATTGGTTGAACTTCTTCTTCCTCTTCTTCTTTCACTAATCGTTCCTGTTATATAAACATCTTTATTATCATCATCATCAGATTGTTTAACCAATAGCTTAACTTGGTAAATGACCAAATAACTCTTCAAAATCTTCTAAATCATGACATAACAAAGTGCATCAATGGTATCCACCAAATCAGTGTAATCACTATTTCTTGACTATTCCAAAATCGATTATTTTGGATCTAAAACACACAAAAAACATTAAAGTTTCACAATTCTAAAAACAGAACCAATGAGAGTGAGGTATTGAAAAGACAGACTAATAAAAAAAAAGGGAAAGCGAAGAGACAGAACCTCAGCTAGATCCGGAGTAGGTAACGTTTCAGAGTCAGGTGGTTTCAAAAGCGAGTCAGACGGAGGAGACTCAGTCTTAACTCGCTTCCTCACTCGTTTCCCTTTACTTCCCCAACTCGCCGCAGATTCGAAAACCTCCTCTCGCATTATCGCAAGCTGCGCTAAATCCGCCAATGCCTCTGCCGCCTCCATCTCCGTCATATTCGCCGCCGCCGTATCCTCTTCCCCAGACGAAGACGACGAGCAACAACTCGATGATATAGGCTCCAACTCCATCAACAAACCAAAAAAAATTCAAAAACCAAAAGATTTTTCCTCCAACAAAAAATAAGTGCCAAGAAGAGAAAAAAAATAAGAGAGAGAGAGAGAAAGGAACTGTAACTTCTCTCGAGAAAGAGAGAGAGAGGGGGAAAAAAAAATGCCAAAGAGGAGCCCACAGATGGTGAGAGAGTGACACGTGTAATGCCAGCTCATCGTCTACAATTGGTTGCTTAAGTATAGCCCATGTATCTGTGACCGCCACGTATCGCTTTTAGTTACCAAGTCAGCATACTCGGCACGTGCGGGGTTGTGTCGTGCGTGCGAAGCCGAGATTTGGGACCGCCGCGACGCGAACCTCAGAACTGGGAAGAGGCGCAGAGTTTAAGATTGCAAGGTCGGTTTTAGAGGTGCTCAGATTGCGACACGTGTGGTGGTTTTATTGGATATTTACGTGGCGACGTCTGAGCCATGAGATTCAGTGGTGAATAATTACGGCTGAACTTTTTTGGGTGCATCCACCAACACACAATCATTTTTGTTCTAGACCTCTTTCTTGGACATGCTAATGGGCCGGGTAATAAGCCGATTGATATATAACAACTGGCCCATCGCAATCATAGTTTAGTTGTGAAAATGTTAGAGCAAGTTTATGGCCGTCTAGTATCTAGAGCAAGTTTTAGAACATTGGTATAGATGTTAACGGATATAGAAATGGGCCTAGTAATGTATGATAATGGACACATCCTTGTGAAACTACACATTGTGTCACATCATATATTACTTGAGAAATGATTTACGATATATGATAAGAAGAATAATCGAGCTTATGCATTTTGTTTAAAAACATTGGGTTACCGGTTACAATGTATGCATTGAAGATTAAATAAATGAAATCAGTTACACATAAGTCGATTTTTTTTTTTCCGCTCTATTTGGTATAACACACCACAACTTAAGGAACTTTGCTTATTCATCCTTTTAGAAGTGGATTCCCCATTCCCTACAGAAAGATAATAAATAACATATTAAGGAATGATTATGGAAATTATTAAGCAAAAATGGTGCTTACTGTTTATAAAATCATAAAAACGTAATTTGAAATGCTCAGATCTTATAATGGTTAAGTGGATATTAAGGACCAATTATGTATATATGCGCAATAGTTTGATTCGGTGTTCGAAAAAAAAATGTGGTGGTGCTGTATGTATTATCATGTTGTGATTGTATTGTAAGAAATATAAATAAAAATTACGGAATAGGAAAACAGATTTTTGTACCAAAAAGATCAAAAATATTCAAAAGAATCGTAGACGTACTTGGCTTTTTCACTGAACCATCCGTAAACGGATTTGACGGTGGATGATACGGTGTCAACGGCTTGTGGGCCGCCGTGTTCATTGAATGCATTGGTGACACCCGTCACGGCCGAGTCTATCCTCTGCCCAACCGTCGGCTGTTCCTCGGCCAAGATATCCACCGAATTTATCGAAACAATTAGCAATACCGACAACAGCACGGCCACGGATATTTTCGCCATCTAATCTCCGACAAACTTGTATGCTTCTTTTTTGTTTGGTTATTAAAAAAAAAGAGAATGATTTAAGCACTAGAGGTAGCTCGTAAATTTTCTTAAGCTTGTCAACTATGTATTTACGCGTTTTTCGTGTTTTGTTTGGTTTAATTTGAAAGTTCCTTATTTATATGCGAAGGAGATTTAAAATTTGGTTTTAGTTAACGGTGTAACGCTTTGCCCAAAAAAAAAAAAAAAAAAAGTTAACGGTGTAACGATCCAACGTTGGTGGCCGTTACGCCGAAAATAGTACGACGTGAGATGGCTTTAGTTTCATGCCAGTTCCAAATTAAGCAACAGTTTTATGGTTTTCGTATTCATTTTTTTTGGGGGTCCATATAGTGAATTGGTGATATTCGTTTTCTTTAAAACTTTCTTATAAATGCTTTAACGCTAAAAAACGTTATAAATGTAGATGTTTTAGCTTTAAATTTAATTAGTTTATTTAATTTGATAAACAAAAAGTGATTGTTTAAATATTTATCAAGCTCTAGATGCTAACCAACTCATTGGTTGGAGGATTTTGTAGGGGAACATTCAAGTCTTTGCATTGCGATTTCAATCATGGTACAATGGAAATTGAGATTACGTACGAAATGGGAATCAGTTGTTTTACTAGGTGGAAGAGATGTAAAATAGCTTATATTGATAAAACCCATCGATAAAACAAAAACATAAAAAGTTGACAAAATAGATTAGAATTATAAATAAACTAAACCACAATAGCTACATGAAGATTAAACAGAGAAAATAAGAAGCACAATGAAAAGGGAACGATACACTCATCAGTAAGAAATTAAAGAAGAAAACATATCCCTTTGAATCCTTATATATATATTGCAATCTTCACATCAATGTAACAGACTTCACTGGATTCTCATATTCTTCATTAATCTGTCAAAAAAAACAACAGAGTAATTAATATAACTTTAGTATTTGATCAATTAACAAAAGCCTTTTCGAACTCCATTTAAACAACTTGACACTAAGAGCATCTTTAAAGGTAATTAGCTCTTAGCAAATTCTTAAGTAGATCTTAGGCATTAATTGATTTAATTTAATTTAAAAATCAAATTTATAGTTAAGAGACGTCTCTTAGCTAAGAGCCAAAACTGAAGCTAAGAGACAGCCACATGTCCGTGTATGAGTGGTTGATGAGTTAAATTAGGCGTGGATAAATAAACCGAACCGAAATCGGTACCGAACCGATATATTTCGAATAACCGAAAATACCCGAAATACATTTCAAAATAATTAGTTATTTATAGACTAAATAATCAAAAATACTTGAAAATATATAAAAATAGTAAAAATACTCGAACATAACCGAAAAATATCCAAAAATACTCAAAAATAACCGAAATATCTGAAAATATCCTTAGCAAACTAACTGAATGAAGAATGCATCAACAATTGAAGAATGATTTGGTCGAGCATATATACACAAAATATTCCAGAAATTAAGTTTAAAACATTTGTGTTTTATGTTATTTATGTTATAAATTGTATATCATGTATGTTTTACTTTTTTTAATTTGCAATAATTATAAATTTTATTTTTATATTAATATTTTTTCTTCTAAGAACCACATGTTAAGAGCTTACCTTAATCATACAAAAATCTTAACTCAAAAATACTATCTCTTAACAATAACTTTTACAAATAAATTACTTAAATATTGCTAAAAAGTATTTCTAAGAGACTACCTATAATAATGCTCTAAAGATAGCACTTTTGTTGATCACCAACCAGTGAAAAGTTAGAGTCACTTTTGCATATTTGTATATACCGTTATATCTAATCATATACGAATAGTATAGAATTAGATATATACATATATAACATCTTATCATACATATATACGATTCAAAAGTTAAGGACAATGTGCATGTGATGATGCACAAACAGGATTAGATTTCATGTGACTCATTTCCTTTTATTGAGAATGCCGGAAATAGAAGGGATGGTGCGTGTGGTTGCATGTTTCTTATTATTATACCTATTATTCTATTATTATATAGTACAACCTTCATCACTAATTTTAATATACTACTATACCAAAAGAACTCATTCAAATTAGTCCAATACTTACCAGATTTTAACGAAACATATGTTCTGTTATATCACTATAGAAATCACGAAAACAACTGTAAAATCTTAGACAAAGAAAAATTCACAAAAACGACCACAAGTTCTAAAAGATTTGGTAAGGGCAAAAAGATTGTACCTCAAATCAAAATCATTGATGCCTCTTGATTTACTTCCAACATCGACAGTTTTGTATTTAGGCAAAGGTACTAAGTCTTGTTCGATGTTCATGAGATCTTCAACGAGGATGTCGTAGTGACGTTTGACTTCCTCTGCAGATTTACTTCCGACTGCTTTAGCCACGTTTTGCCAACGGTCGGGAGTGTCTTTATCGTAAACGGCTAAAGCCCTCTCGAACATCTTGTTTTGCTTAGACGTCCAAGAGGAGCTCGAGCTCATAGAACTAGAGGCCATTTTATTTAAATTCTTTTGGGAACATATGAGATATATAGGGAAACAATAAAAGAGAAAGAAAAGGGATCGATACGATAAGTTACGAATACAAACGAATGCCAAAATAGGCTCCTTATATGGAGGAAAAGAGAGTTGAGAGATTCAGATTCCGCAAGTTGTAGTATTTATCCAATATTTTTTTGGGTTATATACCAAAATAAAGAATTATAATTCTTTTTATGGGTCTACATTTTTTAGGGTCCATACGGCTTTTGAGAGAATAGTGTGTCGAGAAGTCAACCGTTAATTAACGCTCATATGTGTTTTTATGAGATTCAAAATTAGCAACCTCTTTTTTTTTTTTTTTGATAACCAACAACCTCTTTAATTTATAGGGTTTTAACGTTTAATGGTTATTTGTTGAGCCCTATGGCTTGCAAGGTAGCAAAATCATCTTTTGGTTTTAACATAATAACATAAAGGAATCATTAAAAACTCAAAAGAAAAGTGAAACACATTGGTATTCATAGAAAAAAAGAGTGGACAAACAAGATCCCGTCTTTTATACTCCAATGAATCAGATTCACCTTAGCTATAATGTAAGTACAAATTTGTGCTAGTACGATGAATTATGAAAGTTTATTCACATAAGAAATATTTTTTGTTAGACTGGAAAAATGGTTTTATATATATAATCATCGTTTAATTTGTTGTGAAAACAAAAAGAAAAATTTCTGAAGGTCGAATAACGGATTCGATATGTCATCTCCTGTACCAAACTTCATGGAGATTTTTAATAAACTTCATTTTGTTATTATCGATTATATATAAAATAATAATAATTTGAAGGAGATGGATCGATACTCTTGAGCACTTTGTTTTGATTGTAAAACTTATCTCGTGTGATGGAGAAAAGCAAATTTGGACGACAAGCATTCTGATAAGAGCCACTTAAAATTTGCTGAAAAAGAATAATACCATAAGAGATATTATCGTCTCCTTTTGGGATAAAATTCCAATATCCCTATTTATGCATTGATTCTCATTCATAGTTGTATTTTTATCCTTTCTTGTGTTTTAAGAATATGAATTTATTTTAATAGTTATAACAAATTATATGCTTCATTATTTCCTTTTATATACAAAAAATATATATGTACGATTGATTCTAATGATTATATAAGAATTTGGAGATTTAGTGTGGTCTCATAGCATAATAATATCTTTTTGAAATTCGTCTATGGGGGCAGCAAACACACCACATAACATCTATTGTGACAAGTTTTAGTCACGTCGTACAAGTTAGAAGATAAGGCGACTCATTCTTATTGAAAGTTAGGTAATTTGATTTTAGTTTTGGATGTTGTCACCTTTGTCGTCACTCATTCTTATTCAAGTACTAGGTAATTTGATTTTTGTTTTTAGTATTAGTTAACCTTTACGTAATCATTTTATTTTGTGTTAATTGTATATATCAATTTTTTTCTTACAATATCAAATAATTGCCACGATTACGGCAAGGTCCACAACTATACGAAACCTTAATGTAGTTATGACTTAGAAACACCTATCTCTTGTAACACCTATCTCTTGTAATACCTATCTTTCATTTATATGATATTTACAAGTTTTACAAAAAAAAAAAGTTATGACTTAAAAACACTAGTTACAATTTGGAAAGAAAGCAGACTTCTTTGGAAATGCACTAAGGCCAACTTTGACAAATTTGTTTGGCGTATGATATGTTTGAAATTGGGGAAAATTGATATGGGCTCTCAGCACAGGGTCAAAACAGAAAATTTTAAATGTATAGGATAGCTTGAGATTATTCATAAACTTGAGGGCTCTTTTTGCTAAATACCAATAAACGAAGAGAGAAACGGCAACGCAGCCCTAATTCGAGTTCCATTTCTGTGATCTTGACCTCTTCCTTCCTCACTCAATTGTTTAGCTAAAGTTAGGGTTTTGCCGAGATTTATCGTTCTATCTTCATCTCTGTTAAACCCTTCAGAGAAAGATGAAGTCTTTCCTTGTCTCTCGACAAGCGATCCACCGTATTTCACTATTAACTTCAAAAACCCCAACTTTCTGCAGAAACTTCTCCGCCATTACATCTTCAATTTCTCACTCTGATCGTCATCTAAGAAGCTATGACGAACAAACCCATTTCCAAAATGAAAAAATCCCTAGACCCATTTCATCTTTCAATCGATATTTCCACTTTACTCGCGAGTCCCGACTCAGTGAGTCCAGTGCCGCCATTGACGACTCAAATGACCAGGAAGAAGACGACGAAGAAGAAGATGGGACCACAAACGAGTTCCTCTCACGATTCGTTTGGATAATGCGTGGGAAAGTCTCAGAAGCTTACCCAGATTGTGACAAGAAGATGGTTGATGGTATGCTTCTGCTTATTGTAGAGAAAGTTGTGGAAGAGATCGAAAGAGGTGGTTTCAATAAAGTTGGATCAGCTCCACCTTCGCCGTCATCGGAGTTTAGCGATGATCTATGGGCTACGATTTGGGAAGTTAGTAATACAGTGTTGAAAGATATGGAGAAAGAGAGGAAGAAAGAGAAGATGAAGCAATACATTCAATCTCCTGAAGTGATGGAGATGTGTAGGTTTGCTGGAGAAATTGGTATTCGTGGTGATTTGCTTAGAGAACTTAGATTCAAATGGGCTAGAGAGAAAATGGAAGACGCTGAATTTTATGAGAGTTTGGAACAGCAACGTGATTTGGATAATGCAATAAGGGACTCTGAAACAGTGGATGGAGAAGTAGAAGAAGAAGGGTTTGTTCCCTCTGATGAAATTGAGTCTAGGAGTATCTCTCTTCCTAAACGAAAGGGGAAGTTTAAGTACAAGAGTTACGGGCTTGAGTTATCGGATCCGAAATGGGTTGAAATGGCTGATAGAATTCATGAAGCTGAGGAAGAGGCTGATTGGAGAGAGCCTAAACCTGTTACTGGAAAGTGCAAATTGGTTATGGAGAAGCTTGAGTCTTTGCAGGAGGGAGATGATCCTTCAGGGTTGCTTGCTGAATGGGCTGAGTTATTGGAGCCTAACCGTGTGGATTGGATTGCTTTACTTAATCAGTTGCGAGAAGGAAACACTAATGCATACTTACAGGTTAGACTTTGGTTTACATCCTCAAAATGACTTCCACTAGATTCGTTCTTCTGAAATTCATAATCAAATCAAACTTTGATGCCTAGTCGTTTTGGTGTATTGGCCTACTCCTATAGTGTTGGATCTTGACTAATTTCCCCAATTGTTCGAATTAAGCTTTTTTGCTATATCGGTCATTTGATGGAGTGGAAGTTCTGTGGTTTGATTTCGTTAGTTCTTTTAATGGGATTCTTGCTGTTGTTTAATTTGTTACTCTAGGTTGTTTGTTCAATCAAGATGGTGGTACTTGTATGCATATGTCTAACATAGGTTTGGAAGAGATGATTTTTAATCAATTGGTACTGGTTTTGATATTTCAACAGGTGGCAGAACGTGTCCTGGATGAAAAATCGTTCAACGCTAGCATCTCAGACTACTCAAAACTCATCCATATCCATGCTAAAGAAAATCACATTGAAGATGTTGAGAGGATTCTAAAGAAAATGTCTCAAAATGGGATCTTTCCAGACATTTTAACCGCCACTTCGTTGGTTCATATGTACAGTAAATCAGGCAACCTTGAGCGTGCAACAGAGGCATTTGAAAACTTGAAGAGCTATGGGTTACGGCTAGACGAGAAGATCTACGAAGCCATGATCATGGGCTATGTAAACGCTGGCAAGCCTAAACTAGGTGAGAGGTTGGTGAAAGAGATGCAAGCAAAGGAGTTGAAAGCCTCGGAAGAAGTTTACATGGCTCTGCTTCGAGCTTATGCACAAATGGGAGATGCCAATGGAGCTGCAGGGATTTCTTCTTCAATGCTGTATGCATCAAACGATCCACTGAGCTTTGAAGCATATAGTTTATTTGTGGAAGCATACGGGAAAGCAGGGCAGGTGGATAAAGCTAAAAGCAACTTTGATGAAATGAGAAAGCTTGGCCACAAACCTGATGACAAGTGCATTGCAAATTTGGTCCGAGCATATAAGGGAGAGAACTCATTAGATAAGGCACTGAGACTTTTGTTGCAGCTGGAGAAAGATGGGATTGAAATAGGTGTGATCACTTACACAGTTCTTGTTGATTGGATGGCTAATCTCGGGCTTATCGAGGAAGCTGAGCAGCTTCTGGTAAAGATCTCTCAGCTAGGAGAAGCTCCACCATTTGAGCTCCAGGTGAGCTTGTGCTGTATGTATTCTAGTGTGAGGAACGAGAAGAAGACTCTTCAAGCTCTTGGGGTTTTGGAAGCTAAGAGAGATCAAATGGGACCTAACGAGTTTGACAAAGTTATAACTGCGTTGAAAAAGGGTGGGTTTGAAAAAGATGCGAGAAGAATGTATAAGTATATGGAAGCTCGAAAGTTTTTGCCTTCACAGAGATTGCAGATGGATATGGTTGCACCACCTCGAGCTTTTGGGTCTGGATCTGGTAGAGTGAGACGGTAAGAAACTCGTAAGTGGAAAAATCTCAAAACTTATTTATCATCCTGTGTTCAATCTTCTGAGTCAACTCACATTCCGAGTTTCCATTGATTTAAAAACTGTAGCTGTGTTCTGTAATAATACCGCTCCTTGGAATTTGGATATCTGTTTACCGCTTCTAAAAAAAGTTTAAATGTTTCTCTAGAAGAATCATAAGCTCTCTTTTGAACATTCTCCTCTCAGATCATTTCAACCATAGTAACCTTATCATTAGCCTTATTTGTTTCTTACTCTCTCCGTTTCAGTTTAGTTGTCGTTTTATGATTTAAATTTTGTTTCATAATAGTTGTCGTTTTAGGTTTTCAATGCAAATGTTTGGTGAAAATTTCAGTTTTATCCCTACTGTTTTAATGTTTTGGCCAATTAATTTTTTTATAAAATATATTAACAAAGGGTAAAACAGAAAATTTAATGTTTTTCTTAATTTGTGTGAATTAAACGACAACTAAAACGAAACAGAAGGAGTATATTGGTTTTGACGTATACCTCAACTTTGTAAAAACGGAAAATACAATTTTCTCCATCAAGTGGATATAACTTCAATAAATTCGAGGAGATAATGTACAAGTCCAACTGCATTTCTTAATAGAAGTTTTTACAAATAAAAATAATAAAAATAATAAAAAGTTATAGAAGAAATGAAAGAGAAGTTCTTCAAAATCTTATTTAAGAGTCGGTACTAAAACGAAAATTACACATGTAATTTTGTCTGTGGTTTCTCGGTATTATTACTTTTTATTATCTTTTTTTGTCGTCTGCATTTATTATTTATTGCAAATTATGAAAACTGTTATATAGACGATTTTACAACGAACAATTCATTCCGACTCTTATTAGATCTACGATCGCATTCTTCATGCTCACCTCCTCACTTCGTTCTTCATGGTTTTTGATGGACACTTCTTTTTCTGTGTGGAATCCTGGCGAACGGCTATAATAGTACATCGCTGGAGATCTCCTGCACACTTGCCTCCAATAATCTGCAAATTTATTAATATATTGTAGTATCTGGGACTCGAACCACAGACCTCTGGATGTAGAAGCATTAATGAACCCTTGGTCAACCAATGGGCCAAAGAGGCTTTTACGGTTTCTCTGTATTAAATCATTAAAATTTAGTTGTAAAATTAAAATATTACTCTCTCCATTTTACAAAGAGTGTCATTTTAAAGTTTTAATCTCGTTTCACAAAAAATGTCGTTTTATGTTTTCAATGTAGTTCTAAAGACTAATTATCTTTTTTGTCCCTACTATTTTAATTTATTAATTAGAGAGAGTATTATTTAGTGTATTAATAAGGGATAGAAATGAAATTTGTTTACTTTTCCATAATTTGTGTGAAAAATGCTAGAATGACATTCTTTTATAAAATAGAGAATGTATTATTTTTTGTTTTTTTTTTAGAAACTCTTACATTCCCAACAGCTCTAATGTACACATGTGAATTGTGATGTGTCTGCCACGCATCGCATACGTGTCACTGTCAGCTATGTCGAAAAGAGCTAGGACAAGAAAAACAAAAGGAATTAAATCCAGTTGTTTAATTAAGTTAAGCCGACTAATTTAGTATTTTGTAGTTGAAGTTAAAAAAAAAAAGATTGATAATTTTTTTTTTAAAAGGTTGATATTTGTTATGCAGCTAAATCTGTTTTGGATCCAAGTGTCCATCTTAAATAATTTTTCAAGGTTTTTTTTTTTCCATAAATAATTTTTCAAGGTTATCTCCTCTTTACGTTTGATATTTGATCGTTCCACCCACAAAAGACAAAAATTCGACATCATCTTTCATCATGCTTTCTTTTGTATCCTTGTATAACTGTTTTGCTTTCAAGAAATTTTGGTCTATCTAAAACTTTGGAACGAAATATAATGGGATCTAAATCTAAAGATTAATTTACTGTACTAAAAATAATAATCATAGGAGACAAGATAAGGTTGCAAAGTTAATATCTTCTCTGTCAAAAAAATAAATAATATCTTCTCTGTCCACTACTTAAATCAGTGGGCTATTACCGGAGTTTTCGAAAGCCAAATAATGGGGATTTAGTTTTCTTAAGTTATACGAACTTGGACCGAGTAGCGAAGTAAATATATAATAATATTAATAAATTAAACAACAAATTTAATATCTTTTGGGGATAAGAATTATCTAGATGAGTTGCATACTTACATGGAGCACTATATATAGAGGAATGTTAACACATTGATCTCACCGACATGAATGGTTACTTATCAGAAAATTAAAAAGACAATAAGAAAAGATTAAGAGCAAATGGGTTCCTTAGTGTCAGGATGGGACTCTCGAGTAAGCGATCCCAACTCAGGTAATTAATATTATATATCATGCATATATGAGATTATATTGTATGTTTTGATTATATAACAGAAACTGAATGATGATTTTTATTCCGATATAACATAAATTCAGTGAGACGGTGCAAGTCATTAACAAGAGAAGAAATCGACACTTTTTGGAAAACAAAGAAGAAGAATGAAGAAGAAGAACATGTTCAAGCCGTTTCCAAGTTGGTCACTCAGGTTAAGACCAAACTTTAAATTTATTTATATCTTAATTCCCAAGGAAACAGAGAATATTTCAACTATCAGAGATCTTTGTGAAAATCAGAGTTCGACTTTAAAATTTACCAAGAAATATAAAAATGATCTAATAAAGGCTTTGAAATTGTTTGCAGGAAGGTGCACAAAGCCAAGCGCAAGAGGAGAAGAGAGTAGAGGATCTTTTTGAGAACCAAAGCAAGAGAAGTGGATGGTAATTAAATCAATCTCGTAATTAATTCTTAAAGAGATATATGAAATGATAAACTGATGCATGTGGCTGGTCAGGTGGAGAAAAACCAACTGGGCGTTCTTGAACGAGCCAAGGGAGGAAGAGGGTCGACAGAACAATTACGTGCCGCAGTTCAAAGTGGCTCACATCGCCAAAATTGCGGGCTCGTAATGAAGCTATAATCACCGGCTAATTACATATATATGTCGTATGAAATGTGATTAGTCGTCTGCGGTTGTGGTTTAATCACCGGCTAATCACATATGTTGGCCGTGTTAGTATGTGAATGTGAGTACAACGTGTAACAAATAATGGTGTAGGGTTTTAATCTGAGAATGTTTTTTTACTTTATTTTTGTTTGTATGAACGAATGTGTTTTTACTTTATATGTGTCCTTGTTTGTATTTTTTTGGTTGTGTGGGGGTGTAATTTACTTTTTTTTGTGTATCTTTTAACCTTTTTGATTTGTGTTTTTTCCTTGAATATGAAATAGTTTGTGCTTATGAGTTACGGGACTCTCGTGCATGATAACATATTTTTTTTGATAAAAAGAAACCGAAGGTATAGTCAGATTAAGACTTTTCTGTTTTGTTCCAAATAACGGTTTTACGTACGCCATTCATACCATTTGTCTAATTTTTCTTTATTTTTCATTTTAATAAAGATCGTCTAAAATTTTTTGTTCATAGATAGTCTTACGTATATATTGATGATATATTCATGGGATTATTGTTGATTTTGCCATTTTTTACCAAAATCTTTTGAAAATGCCATTTTTGCAAAAATCTTATGGATTTGCCATTTTCTAACATTTAAAAATGTACGTATTTCGGATTTTTTTTGGTAAAAATACGTAGTTTATACAAAATACTAAACCCTAAGAACAACCACAACCGACTAAACCCAAACATAACGAATAAAACGCATGTTTCCGTAGCCTGAAAAAGGGTAAAATCCATAAACTATTCAAAAAGGGCAAAATCCACAAATGTCATCCCAAAAAATGGCAAATCCGTAATTGATTCTATATTCATACATCATCCGATTTTTATAATCTATGTACTCAATTACAAATCTGTAAACCCTATTGTACACATTACAAATTTTTATAAGTACGTACACATATATATGTAAACTAAAACAATAACTCGTCTTAAAAGTTACTCCCTCCGTTTCGTTTTAGTTGTCGTTTTATGATTTAAATTTTGTTTCGTTTTAGTTATCGTTTTAGGTTTTCAATGCAAATGTTTTGTAAAAATTCCAGTATTATTCCTATTGTTTTAATGTTGTGGCCAATGAAATTTTTTATAAAATATATTAATAAAGGATAAAACAGAAAATTTAATGCTTTTCTTAATTTGTGTGAAAAACCTTAAACGATAACTAAAACGAAATGGATGGAGTAAATTGTTAAAAACACACATAGAAATCTGAAAAATGCTATCTACACATATTTTCTGCTGTTGAAGAAAACAAATGAAGTTGGGAATAAATTCGAAAATTCCAAGACAATCTTTAAAGCCCATTCAAATTTGCTCCACTATTGTGAATTGTGATTCTGGAAACAAATTGAAGGTTTTGTTTGATTACCAAAATAAACAACGTTCTCTAATACAATTATATAAATATTTATGTACATATATAAAATTAGATTTTAACAGCTTATTTTATTACGCGATATCTATATTTACTAAATCAACAGTCGCTTTTACAATAACTGATTATTTTTCCATCTGACACGTGTCATAAGTCTCAATTTCTTATCTTTTACTTTCTTTTATAACAAAAATAAGTATTTCACAAAAATAAAAAGAAATCATTTTCTGATTAACACGTACACAAAATCTGACATGTCAAAACAACAAAATTAATATAATATATTTTATTTTATAATTTATTTGGGCAAAACAGTTATCTTTTTCCTCAACTCCACGATCATTTCAAATTTCGATTAATACATTCCACAAATTTGTAAAAAAATAATAACAAACTTTCACAATTTTTCTCAACTGACTTCCACTTTCTTCTCCATGAAACGATTGATCAATGAAAAGAAGAAGATGGAGAAATTCTCAGAATATATTACAATAAAGGTACATCTATGTATTTAAACATTTAACTAAAAAATTTAATCTCAGTTTTTTATTTTGGATCACGAAAATGTCATATCAATTTGAGATTTTAGGCTAACTACATGTTTTTGATATTCTGTGATTTCTTAGAAGTTTTACATTCTGGTTAATCCAACTACATGAATTTAGTTTAGATTGATAGCCTTTGTTTACTTCACCTATTTTGCTATTAATGGTACAATTTTTTTGTTCATTGTTCTTCTTCTTACCTACGTTTCATTTGTCACTTATTATTGTTGTAACTAATATATTATTTTGTTGAGATTGTATATACATAATGTACATGCCACCATATTATCGAAAACTCTGTAATTGTGGTACCAAATAAAACTCATTAACTTATTCTATTTCTTATATTATGTATTGATTTTGTAGATATAGATTTGTCCGCGGCTGTAAACTAGTTTTTACTAAAAGACAAGTTATCCCGCAATTTTTTTATATATATGATATACCTGTGTGATACTGTTAATCTATAAATGATGCAATGTTATCAAACCAACAACCCAAACTAAACCAAACCAAATTTTAAAAGTGAATGCAATAGCTGTCGCACTTTGTGGTCATACAAGGGTATTCCGGTAACTTCAGCTTAACTCGGCGCCGTCGGTTCCCACCGAAAAACATAAAAGCCGATAAATCTGAGTCGGTTAATTACTCTCTCTCAGACTTCAACGAAAATAGACAGAGAGATGACGAGCAAGATTCTGGTGATCGGAGCGACAGGTCTCATCGGAAAAGTCTTCGTCGAAGGAAGTGCCAAGTCCGGCCACGCAACTTTCGCTCTAGTTAGAGAAGCCTCTCTCTCCGATCCCGTCAAGGCCCAACTCGTCGAGAGCTTCAAAGATCTCGGCGTCACTATACTCTACGTACGTAATAATCCTCTCTTCTCGTCATGTCATGCTTGTTTCTTATTCAAATCTTATCTTCTCAAACACTCTACCCAATCTGGAAAGGTTAAGCTCCAATTCATCTTACTAAGCATTTATCATTTATGCCTTTATGGAAGCTTATTCAATCTCTAGTAAGTTGTTGACTTGAGTTTTAATTAGTCTATTAATGGTTTTGGATGAATTTCTTAAAAATGTTATGAAAAGAAACTGTATACTTCTAAGTTTTGACAGAAATATATATAATTTAGTTGTTGGAATTATTAGCAAATTGTTTTTTCTTATCTTCTGAAATATCTCGAAATCATAAAAAAAAACCCAGAATTTATGGGTCTTTTTCTTCCTCTAATAAGTATAGGATTTAGGTGGTGTTATTTAATGATGAATTTTAATAGAATTGAAATCTAACACTAATCTAGTGTTATTCAACTAATGATTCTAAATCTAATTTTAAAATCTGGTGTTATCGGATCTTATACTTTATTATATTTTAATATTTTAGTGTTATTCAACTAAAATTTAAAATACTTCATTAAAATTATGTTATTCAAAATTAAAAGACTTGTAAATTTTTTGTATATTAAATCATTTGAAATGAAACTCTCTTTGGAGTTTCATGAATAAATTATTAAAATCAAAATCCAAAATATACTGAGATTTTGAAATCCACGATTCTTAAAAACAATATCAGAAAACAAATCTAAATATTTAAAATTTGACTTTAACTCCATGACTCAATAACAATAAATTTTAGGTTTTTTTTTTTTTTCTTCTGTGAAAAATATTTTGTTTTTGTTTTTCCAAATCATCACTTGAATAATGGTAGATTCTTCTGATTAATGATGACAGGGAAGTTTAAATGATAAAGAGAGCTTAGTGAAGGCGATTAAACAAGTCGATGTCGTGATATCAACTGTTGGTCGGCCTCAAATTCTTGATCAAACCAATATCATCGATGCCATCAAAGAATCTGGAAATGTTAAGGTCCGTTTTCTTCTGTATATATACTCTAGAAGATCTGATAAGCTCTAGATGATCTCAGTAAATTTGGAACTAATCTTTTTTATCTAGAGATTCTTACCGTCGGAATTTGGCAATGACGTTGACCGTACGGTAGCCAGCGGGCCAACGCTATCAGAATTCATCTCTAAAGCTCAGATAAGGCGTGCCATTGAAGCTGCAAAGATACCTTATACGTATGTGGTTTCAGGTTGCTTTGCAGGTCTTTTTGTTCCTTGTTTGGGTCAATGCCACTTGCTACTCAGATCTCCTCCTAGAGACAAAGTTTCAATCTATGATAGTGGCAATGGCAAAGGTTGTCATGTCGTCGCTTTTAGCGTTACCATCATATCAATTACTTGTGAAAATTGCAGTTGTGGTAATAATCTGTGATTCTTTCCTTTCTGTTGTAGCCATTGTCAACACTGAAGAAGACATTGTTGCATATACTTTGAAAGCTGTTGATGACCCGAGAACACTTAACAAGATTCTCTACATTCACCCGCCCAAGAACATTGTATCGCAGAACGATATGGTTCGTTTGTGGGAGGAAAAGATCGGTAAGACTCTCGACAAGTCTTATGTTTCAGAGGAAGAACTCCTCAAAACCATCCAAGGTGATCAGTTAAACCATAAAAACAGTTTTTTGATATCCAATATTCACTAGTCCAAATCCAAAGTACTAAAAGTCTTGTTTTTTATTTGCATTTGCAGAGACTGGACCTCCAATGGATTTTTTGGTGGGTTTGATCCATACGATCCTTGTGAAGAGCGACTTTACCTCCTTCACTATAGATCCTTCTTTTGGAGTTGAGGCTTCCGAGCTTTACCCTGAGGTCAAGTACACAAGTGTCAATGAGTTTCTTAACCGGTTTGTCTGAAAAAAAACCTCGTCCCTTATGTTGCGTGTAGCTACTGTTGATCCGAGTTTCGATATGGACGCAAATCTTATTTCAAACTAGGCTTCTTATTTGGTTGATACAATACATAACATAAAAGGTCCAAGTACATTATTTGACTGATATAAGAGAGAGAGACCTTGAACAACATTACCGCACCAACAATCTCATAACGGTGCATAGTTTCAAGGGTTGACCTTGGGAGCCCATCCAGAGATCACATACTTTTCCTCGGTTTTAGTTTTCTCAAATGAGTCGAGAGAGAACAAATCCTTCATGTAGTTGTGGACATGGGGCAAGCTCGCGGGGACAGACCAGCTTTTGAAATGGCCAAGAGCGACTTGGAGATGGTAAAGCTTTGGTGCTAAGCTTAGATCCACAGCGGAAACTCTTTCCCCGGCGATGAAAGGACCATCGTGACTCTTGAGATGGTTCTCCAAGGCTTCTAGCTCATGAAGCAAGGCCTGTTCAGATCCATCATTGGAGTCTTTGCTCTTCAAGAAAGTCCCGAAAGTACTGAAAATGTTGGATCCAACAGAGGCAAATTCAGGAGGAGTCTTGAGAGGTGGATCAGGATACTTCTCCTCGAGGATACCAACGATGACGTCGGAATCAGTCACCCACTTGTCGTCGATCTTAAGAACTGGTACTTTCCCTTGAGGACTAATGTCCAAGAACCTGCATCATATGAGCCAAGTTCCGGCTAACACTTCGAAATAGAACTAACCAAAACCAATCCAATTTCCGGTTAACATAGCTCATATTCTCAGAAATCATCAACACAGTCCATGAGAGTACCACAACACTACACAAGTAAAAATTCAAAGATTTATACCATGAAAATTCTAACAAATAACGAACAAGTGAAACAAGTTAGAGCGATCTAGTGTTTAGGGGTGAGAGAAACTGACCACTGGGGTTTGTCAGAGAGGTTAATCAGATGGATTTTGTAGGTAAGATTCTTCTCCTCGAGTGTGAGCAGAGCCCGTTGGCTGAACGGACCTAAAACGACAAACAAACACTTAAATTAGAAGTTTTACCAACGATCAAACCTCAAAAATAACTCAGAATTTGCAAAATCAAAAGCTTAATACAAAACAGAAACAAAGAGAAAGAGAAGATGGTTACAGTCGCCAAGGTGATCAGGAGCACCAACAGCAGCTTTGACGCAGATTTCGAGAGCCATCTTGATTTTTCTTTCTTGCAGCGACGGATGAATGATTGAGTTAATCAGTGAAGCTGAGCTTTTAAACTGAATTCTTACCTTTTTCTACCCACCGGTGGGCCATTCTTACCACCCGATGTTATCTTATTCACGTGTTATGCGTTTGCAAGAAACGACATTGTTACTGATAGGGCCTTTTGTTTTTTGGTCGGCAGGTTTTGGACCGTTCAATTTAGGAATAAATTCATACCGAAATAGTATAAACGGTTTACTCAAACTACTACCTGAAATATCGAATTGTTTTGGTTCGGTTAAACCAGATTAAACCACTGTAACTGTAATTTTGTTTCGCCGTTCCAGAATATTCCTGTGTTGAAATCCATTTTCGCTCATTTTGTTTCTTCAGCTTCGACCATCGTCGTCTTCTTCATTCAGTGTTGAGTCCTCGCTTACCTGTGAGCTAAAGTGACGATCAATGGGAACCGTAGGAAGAGCATTTTACTCGGTTGGTTTTTGGATCCGTGAGACCGGTCAAGCTCTCGATCGCCTTGGTTGTCGCCTTCAAGGCAAAAATTACTTCCGAGAACAACGTAAGCTTCTGCGTAACTCTAGTTTTCACTCCGATTTCGAATTCGTAGTTTCGACTGCGTTTACTCAGCTCAGTTCTTCTGATTAGGTTTAGAGATCTGGAATTGATGTCTTTTGTTTAGGTATAGCGATTCTCGATTTGAATAGCACAAGGGATTAATTGATGAACTCGTATAGGAATGTGTTTTGCTGCTTAGGGTTTTTTTTTTTGGTTTCTGGTCCCGAAATTTTTGTTCATATGTAATTGTGGTTTTCTCTGTGTAGTATCAAGGCATCGGACACTGATGAACGTATTTGATAAGGCTCCGATTGTGGATAAGGAAGCTTTTGTGGCACCAAGCGCCTCAGTTATTGGGGACGTTCAGATTGGAAGAGGATCGTCCATTTGGTATGGATGCGTATTACGAGGTGAGCTAGCTACTAAGCTTCAGTGGTTAGTGTTTTTGAATGATTTGTTTGTAGTGACTTAAGTTATCATTTACTTCTGTATCCTTAGCTGTGTCAACTCTCACGGTCGAAACTAGTGAATGAATATCTGTTTTTTACTCTTCTTTTATGGTTAAGCGATGAACAAGACTGCTCAAAGTGGAGCTTTCTAGCATTATTGAAGGAGTCTTATATAGAGTATTACTACATCGTATCTTGATAATACTGGTTGTTGTTCTAAAGGATAAATGATCCCCTTAGATTGAATTTGAGCTGAATCTTTGGTGCAAGTATGTGTGGGCTAGTCTGGATTGTTATCTATTTCTTTCTGTGATGCCTTTCCTTAAGGTTTAATGGTAATGGAATAAGGTTTTCCTTTTTATACAGAATGCTGTTATGTCATAAAGTATTGGTGCTGTATGGTTAAGCATGTTAGTACTTTACCAGGAAACTGGAACAACATACAGTCTAAACTTGCTCTCTCTCTCTCTCTTTTCTGCGCAGGGGATGTGAACACCGTAAGTGTTGGGTCAGGCACTAATATTCAGGACAACTCACTTGTGCATGTGGCAAAATCAAACTTAAGCGGGAAAGTGCACCCAACCATCATTGGAGACAATGTAACCATTGGTTAGTGGGAATCTCTTACTTACTGTTTATTTTGAAAATGTCTAATATGCATACATCTCCAAGATGCATTGGGATATAGTTTTAAATTAAATGTGTAACAGGCCATAGTGCTGTTTTACATGGATGTACTGTTGAGGATGAAACCTTTATCGGGATGGGTGCGACACTTCTTGACGGGGTTGTTGTTGAAAAGCATGGGATGGTTGCTGCTGGTGCGCTTGTACGACAAAACACCAGAATTCCTTCTGGAGAGGTAAGATTTTGGGTTCTGATTCCTCGAAAACCCACAAGTAACCATTGGTGCTGCCGTGCTGGCATACTTCTATTGCTACTTAGACAGCATAGGCTATATTATTGACATTATTCGTGTCTTTCTTTCATTGGCTGAGAGTATTGGAGATTGGTGTGAAATTGAAATACAGTTTCTAGTTTGAGAATTCTTCTCCTATATCTGGATAGAATGTATCTTATCCACTTTTCAGATGCCATAATAGATTACAGATGTTAGTTAGATGAAAGTGTAAATGTTCTTATAGCTATGGTTTACCTGCATATGAATGCCAAAGGGTGTTAGTATCTCATCATGGCCGTAAAAATTACTTCAACAGCCATATTTAAAAATGTTTTAACGCATTGGTCTATAATGACTCAGGTATGGGGAGGAAACCCAGCAAGGTTTCTTAGGAAGCTCACGGATGAGGAAATTGCTTTTATCTCTCAGTCAGCAACAAACTACTCAAACCTCGCACAGGCTCACGCTGCAGAGAATGCAAAGCCATTAAATGCGATTGAGTTCGAGAAGGTTCTACGCAAGAAGCATGCTCAAAAGGACGAGGAGTATGACTCAATGCTCGGTATTGTGAGAGAAACTCCACCAGAGCTTAACCTCCCTAACAACATACAGCCTGATAAAGAAACCAAGCGTCCTTCTAATGTGAACTGATTTTTCAGAGGTATGTTTTCTGACCGAAGCCCTATAGTATTAGATGCTCAAGGGGATTATGTTTCTGGCTCTGGTTTGAATAACGGCAGGTAGAGGACATTAGGGTAGACGGATTTACAGCTTTTGGAGAAGCTTTGTTCGACATTTTTTCATGGTTTCTTAGGTAATTATATTGTCAGATCAAACTTTTGTTATCACTTTGGTCTTTTGAACGTAAGAATCAAGTTTATGAAACATGAGTGAATATTAGTTTGATGCATGTGCTATGCAAAATCCATGTGCGCCTATGTTGCTAGGCATGCATGAAGAATAAAGATCCAAACTTGATATATATATATATTTAATTACTGCAAATTATTTGTGGGGCTGATGGTATTGGTACCGTGAATTACGCTTGCTTGGTCGTCTTTTTTATTTTGTGATAAAATCAAATCTTGTATCGTGTATGATTCGTCTCTTTCTTTTTGTCAAAGGCCGTTTTTTTTTTTCTTGAAATTTCTCTTTTGTTTTCTAGCTTTTCGTTGCCGTTTCTGCAGGAATCAACCATTGTTACAATAATACAAATAATTGGATTCTCCCTAGCCCCTTGTAGATCTCAATTAGTGGACCAAATTTTCTCTCAATGTTGAACCACGAGACATCGTATTTTTGAAGTTGGAAACGATAGATTGATTAAAATTGTCGCTAACCGAGACATAGTGTCAAGTCACTTGTAGATTTCAATCAGTGAACACTTTCCCTTATAGAACTAAAATGTTCGGCCGCTAGGTAGGTTGTGTACTTTAAATGGTTTCCATAATTGTTTATATCCATAGAAATTAAAAGGTATGATAAGTCTAGCACTAACTTAACATTTCAAAGAGTAATGAGGCTCCTTCAAAATCATTGCTATTATATTAACCATAGTTTTCATATGATAACATTTCACGATAAAGTACTTTCGATTATAAAAATAAAGCAAATTCATAATCTTTAATTAATCATATGCGGCACAAAATGCAATGCTTAATTTGTTTAAAGCGTTGATATTTTACCTCCCTTTTTCATTGTTTAAGATTCACTGCTTGTCCCAAAAAAAAGAGAAGAAAACTATTTATTTGTCACACACTCTGAGATTCGAGTGAATAAAAATTAAATAATTACAGGACGGAAAACAATAAAAAAGCGCAGGGAATTTATCTGATCAGTTACACTGACTGACCTACAAAATTTTATTTGATTTTCATATAAGGGTAGTTTCGTAAATATCCAATAATCCTTGTTCTTCTTATTCCTGGCTTTCATCTCCACCCGCCGGTATATAAAACCTGAGACGAAGC